GTGCTGGCCAGTAAATTAGAATATCATCAAAAGGTTGAAAATATTTCAGTAATTCCATTCAAAACGTGAAACTTGTACATTATATTCATGCAATGCACACAGACCAATGTATTTCCAATGTTCATTACATTTAAATTTGATATTCATAAGTGACAACTAATGAAAACTCCAAATTTGGTATCTCAAAAAATTAGAATATTCTGAAAAGGCTGAATATAGAAGACACCTGCTGCCACTCTAATCAGCTGATTTACTCAAAACACCTGCAAAGGCCTTTAAAAGGTCCCTCAGTCTTGTTTTGAAGGCACCACAATCATGGGGAAGACTTCTGACTTAACAGCTGTCCAAAAGACAATCATTGACACCTTGCACAAGGAGGGCAAGACACAAAAGGTGATTGCTAAAGAAGCTGGCTGTTCGCAGAGCTCTGTGTCCAAGCACATTAACAGACAGGCGAAGGGACGGAAAAAATGTGGTAGAAAAAAGTGTACAAGCTCTAGGGATAACCGCACCCTGCAGAGAATTGTGACGACAAACCCATTCAAAAATGTGGGGGAGATCCACAAAGAGTGGACTGCAGCTGGAGTCAGCGCTTCAAGAACCACCACGAGGAGACTCATGAAAGACATGGGATTCAGGTGTCGCATTCCGTGTGTCAAGCCACTCTTGAACAAGAAACAGCGCAAGAAGCGTCTCGCCTGGGCCAAGGACAAAAAGGACTGGACTGATGCTGAGTGGTCCAAAGTTATGTTTTCTGATGAAAGCAAGTTCTGCATTTCCTTTGGAAATCAAGGACCCAGAGTCTGGAGGAAGAGCGGAGAAGCACAGAATCCACGTTGCATGAGGTCCAGTGTAAAGTTTCCACCGTCAGTGATGGTGTGGGGTGCCATGTCATCTGCCGGTGTTGGCCCACTCTGTTTCCTGAGGTCCAGGGTCAATGCAGCCGTCTACCAGGAAGTTTTAGAGCACTTCATGCTTCCTGCTGCTGACCAACTTTATGGGGATGCAGACTTCACCTTTCAACAGGACTTGACACCTGCACACAGTGCCAAAACCACCAGCACCTGGTTCAAGGACCATGGTATCCCTGTCCTTGATTGGCCAGCAAACTCGCCTGACCTTAACCCCATAGAAAATCTATGGGGTATTGTGAAGCGGAGGATGCAATACGCTAGACCCAACAATGCAGAGGAGCTGAAGACGACTATCAGAGCAACCTGGGCTCTCATAACACCTGAGCAGTGCCACAGACTGATCGAGTCCATGCCACGCCGCATTACTGCAGTTATTGAGGCAAAAGGAGCCCCGACTAAGTATTGAGTGCTATACATGCACATTCTTTTCATGTTCATTCTTTTCAGTTGGCCAACATTAGAGAAACAAACATTTTTTCATTGGCCTTTAGAATATTCTAATTTTCTGAGATACCAGATTTGATGTTTTCATTGGTTGTCACCTATAAATATCAAAATTAAACGTAATAAACATCGGAAATACATTGGTCTGTGTGCATTGCATGAATATAATGTACAAGTTTCACGTTTTGAATGGAATTACTGAAATATTTTCAACCTTTTGATGATATTCTAATTTACTGGCCAGCACCTGTATACACTGCCATGATAAGGGATTCTAAAGATACAGATCAAATGCTCTGCATAACGAGACAGCACAAGGCTTCCTTTTTAGAGCCTGAAATATTTACCATTATTTACTCCAACAGGCAGCTACTTCCAACTAGTAGATAAAACGACACCACACAAGACCGCTGACCAACCAGCACAGCCGATTAAACTTTTTCTCTGCAGACACAACCACCAGGCCACAGAAACACAATGTCAAACATGATAAACTCAACTGTGTCTATGAGAGCAAAATTTTAAATGAGGAGTAAAAACTTTGTGACTCAGTAGAGCTAGGCAAATTTGAATTTAATCAATTTGAGAAAAGGTTTTAATGCTAAGTTGGCTGCCGAGGCGCCATGCTCGAGTATGCACACACTCGCACACAAACTCCAAGAACTCCCCACCCCCACCGACGACTTTTCATTGTGCAATCCATCTTAATCAGCTAGCCCATCAGAGACAATATATCCTCCCCTCCATCTCGCTCTCCTTCTCCGGACGGAGTGATTGAGGGGTGTAAAGAGGAGGATGTTTCTGCCCACTGTCTCCTCCCCCTCTCTATGCACCCTCCACCCTTCTTACCAGGACAGCTCTTAAGTGCTTGTGGGTTTTTATGTTTGTAGTGTTTTATAGAAGTGGGCAGAAGCCAGGGGCTGTAAAAGTGTGGAATGAAGGGGGGTCGGAGGAGAGGTAGGAGGAGTGGAGAGTTACTGTAAATCCAGTCTTTATTGAGAAAGACTGGAACAACAAACTGTGCTGGACTGGCCTCCTTAAAACACCCAGCTTGCCTGATCAATGAGCGCTGATGGAGTAGAGTAGAGTAGAGTAGAGTAGAGTAGAGTAAAATAGAGTAGAGTAGAGTAAAATAGAGGAGAGGAGAGGAGAGGAGAGGAGAGGAGAGGAGAGGAGAGGAGAGGAGAGGAGAGGTTAGTACAGTTTGCACCTGTTAATTCTTCAGGTTTAGGTGACCTTTAATCTGGATCAGTTTGCATCCATCTATAAAGTCCACGTTCTTCTCTGTTCGTCAATTTTTTCCCAACTAGTCAGGCCTGAAACACCAACACCCCCATCCCTAGCAGCCCACCAGTCTGTCAGTATTGCGTATAATTGGCCACAGTTGGCTTCCATTGAATGTTTGCCGCCTTAGGGGCTAAATGATGCTTCAAGGCCTTCCAGAGCAGCCAGAGAAAATCCACAACACTTCCCTTCGCATGTCAAAAACCAAAGGAACTGTCCTGGAGGCTTTCCCAGGCTGCTATGCTCGCAACAGCAGAAGTTTATTTTCCAAATTCAGGTTTTATTTTTTAATACACTGACTTCATATTATTGCTCACTGCACTCTTTCATCTCGACGTCATTTTGCTTTAAGCATGACCACCACCCAGTCAGTCAGTTAGTCATTGAAGAAAAGGTCGCCCGTTTAGTCAACAAATAACTACGGAGACAAGTCAGCTGGACGGGCAATCAGTCGGACAGACGAGGATGATCAGACTCGGCTGCCCAAAGCTCTGCTGAGGCTAACCTGTACCTGCTTGTTGCCATGGTGATGTGGACCAATTTAAATACTAGTCTATGTCCTCTCCCAGCCTCCTTTTCATCTCCTATCCACTCTCTCTGACTCCTCTCTCTGCTTTTTGCCAGTCTGTGCTCTGACTCCCCCACGCTCCATCTCAGTCATGTCTCCTCTGGTGTTTCTCACCCCCAGCAGCCCCTCACCTTGTCTCGTCCTCGTTGCAAAATGACACTTTACTAGCCGCTTCTTCTTGTTAATTCCATGCTACTGTGCATCCTGCAACTCTGTAAAGAGCTCCTATAAAGTAAACATTTTTATAAAAAACTCCACAGACACACACACACACACACACACACACAAGACGGTTGCTTCCTGTGTCTACATGCATAATTACTTATGTATCTGTATGCAAGTTCACGTGCACAAATGCAAGTGCACACAAACACACGCAATAATTTTATAAATGAGAGTCAACGATCAACATCTTTACTGGATGCTGGCACAGAATCCACCTGCTGACAGTCAGCTGCCAATAAATATCCATCATTTTTAGCTAAAGCCTCATCATCAAGCATAATTTAGGCAAGCTGGCTTGCCTTACTCTCTCCCGATGCAACGCCTGTGCCAAGACAAAGATTAAATTTCCCCCAAATGCACAAACAGCCATGAAAAGCTCAACTTTCAAAACCTGTCCTTTGGCTCCACCTGATGGTTACCAACAAAGGCTGATTCCTATGTAAGGTGCCGGGAAACAACAAATGAAGAAAGAACGTGAATAATGTCAGAAACCTGTTGGACTACAGATATGTATTTACCTTAAATACAGAAGGAATGGACAAAACTAACACAAATATGTCATTCTGAGATGTGTACAGGCTTTAATTTAGCTGTTTTAAAAACAGATTGAATAAGGAGACGAGTAACGACAATTTTTTCAATATTTTTCAAGATTAATTTTAAGATGAAAAAGTCTGATTTGATTTAGCCGTAACACTAAAAAAGCCAAAGGCTTGATTTAGTGCTGCTTGTTTAAGGGATCCTCACTCAGCTACCAGTTAAACACCCGCCTCAGCCCCATGATTTGTTTACATGTGAAAAATGTATCGAATGAACTGAACTTAAATGGAATGTTTTACTGTGTGAAGTGCCTTGAGAAGTCTCTTGTTGTGATTTGGCACTATATAAATAAACAGAATTTAAGAATTGAGAATTTCAACGATAAACCAGTTTAAATTTGATATATTTAGGTTATTTTTTAAGCAACATCTCTTTTAGCATCAAGAGGTGATGTGAAAGGAAACTAACCGGTGGTTAAATTTGGTGCAAACAGGTTTCCTGCTTAGAGATTCATTTTCCTCTGAGAAATAAACTAAAGCTTCTATGTAAAAGTTTCAGTAGCTGGTAGCTACTCAGCAGTAACAAATAATCCCAGACATCCATTTGTTCTCTTATTCTTTGTACTGTAGTTAAATTGGTTAAAAGAATAAATCACAGCAGGCAGGAAACCATATGAAAGCCTGTAGCGGTCACTCCCACACGAGGAAAACATAATACACATAATCACAGACACCGCTCACAGGTGCTACGGGTTAAATGTATGCATTTGCACAACAAGCTGATGATTGCTCTAAGCTTTCATATTCATAATCCATCTGCACATTCTCCCTCTGGTTGGCTCTTCTTCTGCATGAATCCCTTTCTCACTCTATAGACTAGTCATTTTTGTGACAAAGGCTGAAATCAAACAGAACCGCTTTATATTTGAAGTTAGGACGTGTGCAAATTGAGGATTTGAGAGTAAGGACCATGGCTGAACTGAACTGACCTCGTTCACAAATAAAACTGAAGTAAAGCACACATACCTGCGTTGACTATAGCATCTATCTCCAGCATGGTGATGTCGCCGCTGTACACAGAAATCTTCTGGTCTAACTTTTGGTTCCTCTGATAGCGGCTCGGCTCAGAACCGCCTGATGAAGCAACACAAACAGGGTCAGGATTTAGCAGGTTTACCCAAAACAACATTAAGACCAGATACAGCAAATAATTTGCTTTAACTTTGTTATTCTAACATATATTCACTAATTCTGGATTCCTGCGAATGTACTTGTTCTAGAGTAGAATTAACAGCGTAAACCAGAAACGTTGGGAGTTATTTTGTGAACTGTATTAGAATTATAAGTTTTGGGCTTATCTAGTGAGTGAATGAGTGAGTGGTTGGTTGTACTGTACAGCACTTTAGAGTCCTCTGACTCTGAATGGCATTAAACAAGTGTGGGTCATTCATTTGTCAACAATTTCTTAATTTTATTTTCAGATTTTTATTAATTTGCACATTTTAGACCTATTTTTGAGATTTGCTTATATTTTTAATCACCTTAAAATAATTTTTACATCTTTTTTTAGATTAAAAAAAGCCCTCAAGAACAGTAAATATGACAATTTTGGCCCTTGTCTTTAAAAGTTTGGACACTCCTGATGTAATGATCACAATGTGACATAAACAAAATTTTAATATGATTTTTTATTTTGTTAAGGCATCTCCTGTGCATATGATAATTATAACAATTATGATTGTTATTGACTTTTTTTTCTTCCTTTTATTCAAACTCATCCTTTTCTGTTCTATGACATAAAACAGTCAGAATTTACTAAACCTTTGTGCAATTTGAAAATCCAGTTTATATTAAATAAGACCATTTATTATTTCCTTTACTCTAGAGCAGCAGTAGCTCAGGAGGTAGAGTGGGGTGTCCAGTAACAGAAAGGTTGTAAGTTTGATGCCGACTCTCGCCAGTGAATGCTGCTGTTGTGTCCTTGGACAAGACACTTAACCCACCTTGCCTGCTGGTGGTGCTCAGAGGGACCAGTAGCGCCAGTGTTCATCAGTCTCGTTTCTGTCAGTGTGCCCCAGAGCAGCTCTGGCTACATCACAGCTCATCCCCACCAGTGTGTGAATGAGTGATTGTGTGAAGTTTTTGGGGGGGTTGCAGAAGTCTAAGAAGGCAATACAGACCATTTATTTTATTATTTTTATGCATGAAGTTTTAAAGAGGGCCTCACTACACATTTTCATGTTTGTTCACCTGCTTTTGTGATATTGATAACTGATTTTGTTATCTTGAGTTATGATAATGTTGACTTTTTTTAATATTTACTTTCATTTAAAGGTGTGGGGAAACATGTTTAATCAATACATTTAAAATGGTCTCTGGTATGAATGAATGCCTTGCAAGCCGTACTTTGAGAAAAACAAAAAAAAAATAAAATAAAATAACTGAATGGCTTGGATGAGCACGGACAAGTCTGGTGCAGCAGAGAGTGGCAGAAGACGGCAGGATTTGGAGTCTTATTTCCTGATATTTGGACATCTCGCCTCGGACTGGATAACAGGAAACACATCTCTTGACTTGCAACGTGGATGCTTTATCTCCACAAATAACACAAGCCTGGAAGAGCTTCTGCTGTGTCGTGGTGTTGCTAATGCTAACGGTTACTTTCTACTAGTCAGGATGTTGTCTGCTGATTCCTGGATTTTAAACCAACAACAGCCTTCCCCATTGTGAGTCCAGATGGGTGAGTCCATGAATGTTTTTTTTTTTTTACCGTGTCCTGTCTGGCTGTGAAGCAAACAGAATTGATGTCTGAATGCTGGTAACAAGCCTTAAAGATTTACTCTCAGGTGGAGCATCAAAGCGTCTGCTTTAAATGTCACCCCTGATACTTAAAACTTTATTGTTATTGTTTTGGAATGCTTTGCAATTCCGACCGGACACGGAGTCAGAGGTGAAAGAGAAAGGAAAAGACAAAAGGTGGGGAGAGAGGGGGAAGGGGGTGGGGGGTTTCCACAAAAATGAACAATAATGAACAAGAGTCTGCTTCTAGACCTGCAGAAAGAGACAAGAAAAAAAAGAAAAAAAGAAACAAAAAAATGGGACACAACAACAATACAACAAGATCAAGCTATCACTGTGTCAACTTGATGAAGAAATATATAATAAGCATTGTTTAATTGAACAATCACACAATAATAAATCACAGTGCATTAAGTGCCCACCATAGTCTTAAGACCTGTGTTTAACGTGCCCAAGTCCATACTTTTGAGAGCACCGTGTGAGCACCTGTGTGTGTACACGCGCTTGTTTATGTAAGGTTTCTCTATAGGAGCGTCCAACAGAGAGTGTGAGGGACCACAGATCTGTCCCCCAAAGATGTGTAGGAGACGGGGGGAGCTCCAAGTCCCAGAGATCCAGGCGCTACCCCAGAACACAGGAACCCCAAGGAGACTGCAACCAGAAAGGCCCCTGCCCCCTTCGAGAGGCACAGAGGATCGCCCCGGAGGGCCACAACCAGCAGCCGGCAGAGTCTCGGGAGATATCAGCAGCAAGCCCACAGGCCCGCCCGCAGCCTCCCACCCCCTAGCCGGTCGAGCTCGGGACCCAGCGACCCGGGACCCAGGGGCGACCATCCCCGCCGGGGACCCAGCAGAGCCCAGGGACCCAGACCCCACCAGGCAGCCACCGGGATTGATCTGGCAGACGCCAAAAATCTTATACCCCCTGACCCGGGAGCCACGAACACTCAGGCAGACCAAGGCACCACACCCCATACCAGGTGTGGCAGGGGGAGGGGGGACGAAGATCTATATCATCAAAAGAAGTCCCAGGAGATGGGAGGAGTCAAAGGCCCCACCTGACATATACAGTCATACACAAACACAGTCACACACTCCCTCCCTCATGCTCACACATGCACATACAACCCAAAACTTACAAAAATGCACGCCGGACACCCACTCATGCTCCCCATACACACCCTATTCACTCTGGTCCCGGTACTGCTGCACATTGGGTACAATCATCACCGGTTACCAGAGTTTGACCCTTTCTGCTGGGGTGCTGATGAGCAGGCTCCCCCGCCCAACACTGAGCACAGCAACCCACCACCCCGGACCCCAACCAGACGGCCAGATCTCCCTCCTAGCCTCCAGCCCCAGAATGCCAAGCAACAACAGAGGTGTGCTAAGACCCCTAGTCTCCCTCCGCCTGCTCCAAAATAGTGTTGTGTGTTGTGTGTTGTGTGTATTCCATGGCTGTGGTGAGCGGGCAGTGCGGGCATTGTCTGGCCTATGCCAGCTGATGCCATCGCACCACCCCACTTGCACCCACAGCCCTCGGTGTCTAAGTGCAGTTTAAATTTGGAAGTGGGCACCGGCACTCGGGATGAGGCTGAGAAATCCCCCTGCCAAGTGACGTTGAATGTGCTCACTCCCAAGGCCCTAAGTGTGTGTTTGCGTGAAATGTCGTCGGTGGAAGTGTATAAGCTGCAAATAATATTGGGGGGCAGGTTGCCATAGGAATGTGGAAATTGGGTCCATACCCGCACTCCCTGACTTGTCCATCCCCCAAGGTCCTATGTGTATGTTTGTGTGATGACGTGAGGGAGCAGGAGGAGAGAAATATGCGGGGATGGGGAGGTATGGCTGGTTGGGCTTAGCCCTCCAGGAAGCCAGCTCCCCCACTGACCCCAATAGGCACCTCTGTTGTCAAATTGCCACCCAGGGCATGGACACCCCAGCCCATCCTGCCAGGGCCCAAAGCAGCAGCATTACAGAGCCTCACGGAGTCTGAGGGCACCAACCCAGCCCCACCCCAGCAGAAAATCTATGCCCATCCCTGCATTTGCACAACTTCCAAAATATATAAGACATAGGGCATCCAGGTAAGGTTGGGTCCTCCCCCTCCTGGACCTCCCCCTCCCCAGTGATGGGACAGCAGAGGAGCCAAGGTCTACCTGAGGCCCCTGAACCCGGGCCAGGCCTTCTTCCCGGCAGCATACATGTTAGGACCCGACCCCCAAGGCCCCGCCCAGATCCCCCATAGGGCCGGCCACCCCCACACCCCGAGCCCCCAGGCCCCCACCCAGACCTGCCCAGGGGCAATGCAGCTGCCAGGCAGTGACCCATGGCCGCCGCCAAGACCTCCAAGGGGCCCCACTCACAACCGCCAGTAGTCCACCCCCCGAGGCAACCCAAGCACCTCCAGAGGGGGGTAACGGCCTCCCAGTCCCAGACACCCCCAGTGAACCCACCTCCAGGGAACATCCGGATACTCCAAACTCAGACACACACCCACCCCACCCCCCCCACCCCCATCATCCCACAGGACAAGATCAACGGTCCCCCATCATCGCTATGTGATGGAACCGATCAAAGGAGCCCAGAGAGATTGATTTGAAGTGGAAGCAGAGGCTAAATCAAGTGTAATATGATCTAACAAAAGATTTCTATACTGGTTAATGCAGAGAGTTTCTCTATTTTTCCAATTCAAGAGGATAGTTTTCTTAGCGATGCATATGGCAGTCAGAACCACGTGAACCAAAGATGTTTCAATCGGGACATCGTCCAGGTTTCCCAGTAAACAAAGAGAGGGGGTGGTTGGGATATGACATTTCAGAGACTTTGACAGGTCTTCACATACTCTACCCCAAGATTCCTGGACAGGTGGACAGGTCCACAGTGCATGAATGTAATTGTCAGAAATGTTGTTTGTGCAGTGTGTACAGGTGTCAGATGACACAAACCCCATCTTGAACATCCGATGACCTGCATAGTGTACTCTGTGTAGAATTTTGTACTGAATTAATTGTAAATTGGAGTGTCTGATCATTTTAAAAGTTTTTAAACAAGTTTGGGACCAGAAGTTCTGGTCAAAGCTGACTGATAGATCCACCTCCCATTTTTCCAATAGGGATTGCTATTCTATCGTCTATTTTGGACAGTGTCTTATATACTTTAGACAGTAGTTTGGGGGGGGGTTGAGATTATAGAAGTCTAATACCCTTGGTGGTGTTTGTAATTCTATTTTATTGAGCTTAAATTTTTGTTTGACTACAGATTTAATTTGGTGGTATTCTAAAAAGCTATTCTTATCTATTCCAAATTGGGAGACTATTAAATGGGATGAAGTCCAATCTTTCATATATGTGTTCCAGGTATAGGATTCCTTTATTTTTCCAGTCTGGAAGGTTCATCATTTTACTATTTTGCAAAATATCAGGATTATTCCAAATAGGTGTGCATCTGTATGGTACCAGTGAAGACTCTGTCATTTTAAGATACTCCCACCATGCTGTCAGAGAGGTGCTGATACTAATACTTTTGAAGCCTTCATGTTTTCTTATGCTTGAGCTAATAAATGGTAAGTCTGAAAGCTCTATCATATTGCAAAGTGTCTGTTCTATGTCTAGCCATGACTCATCTAGTGGGTTATCTTGCAACCATCTTGGTATATATTGCAGCCTGTTGGCTAAGAAATAATAATAAAAGTTGGGTAGATCCAGTCCTCCTCTGTCTTTGGTCTTCTGAAGCGTTTTTAAGCTAATTCGTGGAAGTTTATCCTGCCAAAGGAATTTGGTAATTGAGAAGTCCAGAGATCTAAACCAGTCAGCTTGTGGTTTGTTTGGGATCATTGAAAATAAGTAATTTATTCTGGGAAAGACCGTCATTTTAATTGTAGCAACTCTCCCCCATGAGTGATATTGGTAAGGATTTCCATCTTGCAAGGTCATCTTCCACTTTCTTTAAAAGTGGGATGTAGTTTAGTTTGGTTAGATCTGTTAACTTGGGAGAGACATTAATTCCCAGGTATGTGATATTCCCTGACTCCAATTGTGTATTAAGCAAATTGACAAAAGAGAAATTAATTGGTAGAACAGTGGATTTTAACCAGTTTATAGAGTAATCTGAAATTTTTGAAAAAGAGTTTAACAGTTCTATTGAATGAGAGAGAGGATTGAGAATTCCAGAGAAAGAGTAAAACATCATCTGCATAAAGACTGATCTTATGTTCTATTTTCTTACACTTTATCCCTTTAATACCTGTTGTTTGCCTAATTGCTGCTGCTAGTGGTTCAATAAAGATAGCAAAACGTGAGGGGGAGAGTGGGCATCCCTGCCTGGTACCCCTCTGAAGACAGAAGCTAGCTGATATTTGGTTGTTTGTCCTGACATGTGCAGTTGGTGAACTGTATAATGTTTGTAGCATGTTTATGAAGAAGTTCCCAAACCCAAATTTATGTAAAGTTGCAAATAAGAACTTCCAGTTAACTCTATCAAAAGCCTTTTCTGCATCTAGAGATAATATACTAGTTTCTATGTTTCTACTGTAAGAGAAATCTATCAAATTAAGTAATCTACGTGAGTTAGTGGATGACTGTCTACCCTTGATGAAACCAGTTTGGTCAGGGTGTATTATGAAGGGGGTTACCTTTTCTAATATTTTTGCCAGGGCTTTACAAATTATTTTGAGATCAACATTAATAAGAGAAATTGGGAGATAGCTGGTAGGAAATGCTGGGTCTTTGCCTGGTTTTAACAAGAGACTAATATTGGCTGAGTTCATGTTTGGCTGTAATCTGCCACTCTCTTCGATTTCCCTCACCATTCTGAAAAAATATTGGAGCCAGAATGATCCAGAATTCTTTGTAGAACTCTGCTGGAAACCTGTCTGGACCTGGAGCTTTCCTATTAGTCATGGATTTAAGGGCTTCCTGGAGCTCCGCTGATGTTAGTGGCAAGTCCAGGACTGTAACTTGGCTGTCTGATAATTTAGGAAGTGTTATCCTGTCAAGGAACTCATTGATCTCGTTATCTGATGGGTTTATCTGTGGTGAGTACAAAGTTTGGTAAAAGTCTCTGAAAGTGTTGTTTATGCAGGGTCATAAACTATATTCCCGGTTGAGTCTTTAACAGCAGATATGGTAGTTTTCTCTTTATTAATTTTTAACTGGCTAGCTAAAAATTTACCTGATTTATTACTATGTTCAAAGTTTTCTATTCGTAGTCTTTGTGCTAAAAATTGTGTCTTTTTGTCAATAATTCCATGAAGTTCTAATTTAGCTTAACGTAATTTGCTCATTAACTCTTCTTCTGTGGGTGCCTCTAAAGACTTAATGATTTCTTCTAACTCCTGAATATGTTTGTTTTCTGTTTGCGCTGAGAGAGGTGAGCATGCGCTGACGCTGACGGCCAAGCACCAGATACACGACAGCGTTTGAAGCACATGGCAGCTCGTTAACAAACATCCACACTTAAAACGCATTTTCGCCTAATTTATCTACTGACAACTCAAAAAATAATCTGGTAATTATAACACTCAACCTGGAGGTAAGTGAAGAAAATTTAGAAAGTTTACAAAACTATATTGACAGTGTTTTTGAGTTTTTCGTTATGGGTCCGAAGAAATCAGCAGCTGAGCCCGAAACACCTGGGACCAAGAGGAGCCGTCCTCAGGACTCGCCTGAGGCCTCATCTCCCCGTAAGGACATATTAGAATTATTAGATTCTATAGACAAACGGCTTCTGGGATTTGAGGGGCGACTTCATCTGCTTGAGGTTCTACACCAGGAGTTTCAGAACCTCTGTCAGTCTCTGGAATTCAGCCAGGAGCAGGTGGAGTGGCTCGCCGCTGAGAACGCGTCTCTGCGGGAGTCCGTTTCTTCCCTGGAAGAGGGAATGACGCGGATCACCCTGGACAACAAGATTCTGAAGGAGACGGTTTTGGACCTTCAGGCCAGTAGCATGAGGGATCATTTGGTGTTCGCAAGCCTGCCGGAGCAGATGGGAGGGGCGGAGAACTGCGAGCAAACAATAAAAAACTTTCTCCAGACCCAAATGAAGATACCCGAAGAAACAGTAAAAAACATCACCTTTCACCGGGTACATCACCTTGGAGTTAAAAGAGTGGACAGCAGAAGACCTCGTCCCATCGTGGCTAAATTTGAAAATTTTAAGCAGAAGGAACTTGCTAAAAGTCACAGAAGAGAGCTCAAAGAAAAAGACTTCAGCGTAAATGACCAGTTCCCTAAGGAAATCCTGGATCTGCGCTGAGTCCTCTTTCCGCTGTGCAAAAAGTTTATCCAGGATGGGAAGAGGGCTGTCATCTCGGTGGATAAGCTTTATGTAGACAATAAGCTTTACAAGAAGTGAGGAGTGACTGACTGGCTGCATTAGCCCAACATCAGGTCAGACATTTACTATTCTTATCAGGATTCACTGGGTTTGATCACGTCGGGATTAAACAGCTGCTAAATCTGTTTTCTAGATGATGAGATCACCTGTTCATCACCACCTCACACCCCATCACCTTTTCTTTTTAGTTCTTTCTTCTTTTTTAACCTGTAAAATTCTTTCCTTTCCTCTCTTTACCTGCTTCTGTACCTTTACAATTGTATGGCACAACCACACAACTTTCCAACACTGCGTCAGACTCGGCACGCACACACACACACACACACACACACAAATATATATATTAAATCCACAGCACAATATCATAATTCATGCATCAAATAATACAACCACAAAAACTGTTGGATCTTTAATATTATTATTATTATTTACTTTTCTGTTATTTATTAACATACTATTTATACATTTTATATACTTATTCCATTTTATTCACATGAAGGCGTCATATTTTAGCTACTCACACACACATCTATGGGTGCACTAAATTGTGTCTCATGGAACGTAAATGGAGCTGGCTCCATAGATAAAAGATTAAAGATTTTGATCAGCTAAAGAGAGTGCAAGCAGACGTAATATTATTACAAGAGACTCATAGATCTGCCACATCCGCAGATGAACTTAAAACACCTGAGTTTCCCAGCATGTTCTCTGCCTGCTATAGCTCTAGGCAAAGAGGTGTAGCTATTTTAACACACAAAAACATCAATTTCACAGTATTGGACACATTCTCTGATCCAGAGGGTAGATTTATAATGTTAAAAATATCTGTACAGAATCAAAGCTTATGTATTGTCAGCATATACTGTCCAAATATTGATGACCCTTCATTCTTTCATAGTTTTTTCTCTGTGCTCTCCGAACACTTGGACTGTCCACTTATACTAGGAGGCGATTTTAATTTTTGGATGAACTCTTTAACAGACAGGCTCAGTAAAGCTGGGACTCAGCGCAAATGGCAATCCACTAATATAGTTAAACAGTCCATAAGTGATTATGGGCTTTGTGATGCATGGCGATCTCTTCATCCTAACTGTAGAGAGTATACTTTTTTTCACACGTCCATCACTCTCATTCACGTTTGGATTATTTTCTAGTCAGCACATTGTTGGCTGACATTTCAGACACTGAGATACACCCCATAGTTGTCAGCGACCATGCTCCGGTTTCTTTAACTCTGGTAAACAAGAAGACAATCCCACCAAGCAAAAACTGGAGGTTTAATACATCACTGCTTAAAGATGAAGGTTTTAGAGAATTTTTTTTAAAGGAGTGGGCTTTATATTTAGACTATAATGACCTGCCTGGAACATCAGCATCTGTTCTCTGGGAGGCAGGAAAGGCAGTGATGAGAGATAAAATAATCTCTTTCGCATCACATGAGTCCATGAATGTTAAGTGACAGCATGACATAGATTTGTCAGGCTTTTCAAATCCTCGAGTTTCCCCATTTATTTTTTATTAGTAGCTAATGTAGGAGATAGTTGTAGGAGGCTATCTTCATGTTAAGTCTGAATGAAAATCTCAGAGTCACTGATTATAATCAGAAATAATAATTTAAAAATGGAGTTTTTGGTGAACTACACCTTTAATAAGGTAAACTATTAATAAGATTTTGTTGTTTTCATTTGTGCTGCAACTCAAATTCTAACTCTTAACTCTTGTTAATTGATTTGATGTCTTGCATATCATCTGATACCACTGATGAAATTTTGTTTTTCCTTAAGTAATAAAAATTGTATTGTCAACAAAAAGACTTGTCTCTTCAGTATTATCAGGCCAAGACTGGTACTGGTGTGAGAAGTCTGACCTGCAGTAGGAGTCCACACTGGTATATCAACCAGAGACACAGAGCCTGAGGTCCTGTAGTATGGACGTCGGTCCTCCAGGGACAGAGACAGCAAGAAGGCTGGGAGAAAAGTGAAAAAACATGTAGTACTGAATAGAAACTGTTCAAACATTATCTACAACAGTAGTTTCTAAATGGTTTAGCTTTTGACCTACACAATTATAATGGCAAATAAATGTGACCTCAAAACGAACTGATTGAACTGTACAGGCTACAGCTAAATAAACATGGAAGTAATAATAATAATACATTTTATTTCAACAGCACCTTTCTAAACAAGGACACTTTACAGAGATAAAATACACAACAATAAAAGACAGAACAGCATAAGACAGACAGATTGGAGCAAAGAAAGTAATTATTGGAATACTAGGCAGAACAACATCCCAACAACTTCCATTTGTATTATACTACACCCCAAAGTTAAATTTTGTCTATTCCCCAGAGTTAGATATGTGGGAGAAAACTAATTGTAACCAGTCTAGTCATTCTCCTGATCCAGCAGTACTCTTTTAGCTTGAGCTTAGCATTAAATAATGTAAGTGAATGGTACCAACTAGCCTTGGGTGTAAAAAGGCTTTTAAAATTACTCAATAGTGATTCTAATTCTACTTGGTGACCTCAATAATCATTTTGACTTCAAGGCAAAATAACACCAAAGAATCACAGGCACCATTTTAGACTTTGGACTACTTTATGATTAAGCACAGCTGTAAGATTCCGCCAAAAGGGAAGAAAGACATGACAAAGCAGCCCCAAAGCTACCTACTACAATAAAAAATAAGCACATAAAACACACACACACACACACACACACACACACACACACACACACACACAATGATGCCAAAAGAGGGAAAATAGGCACATTGCTTTTGTACACGGAGCTCATCAGATGGAGCTCTGTGTTTTGAAACATTTTGAATCCAGCAAATGCTATCACACACAGGAAATAAGTATATCACATTTAAAGCTGTTTTTAATTTTATGCAAAAAATCCTGCTGTGCAGAGCAGAGCTAAACCCATAGGCACGTGTGCTCTGCTGCAGGCACGGAGACTCTGATCAATAAAAACAATGTTTCACCATATAACCGTGACATGCTCCTCCAATCTGGTAATCAAAAATAATTTGCACTGAATGGCCTGCAGCCGTGAAACACATGTATAGTTCCATCTGCAGCACACGGACGGGAGGAGTTAGGCTTATTAATAGTGACATTAACAGATCTTTCCTGGAGATGATTCACGGTGATTATTTTACTCCAGGAATCGTGATTTTTTTAATTTAATCGGTGTGCTCTTTTGGGGTTGGGGTGGGTGAATTCTAGTCATCGGGATAAATGAGAAAGAGCCAAAATGGCAGAGTCGAAAATTGGTACCAAGCCTCAAAACTAAAATCAGTGCATGAACATTTGCACCCCCTTCATATTGTGACACCAGACAGTGTGAGCTCATCTATCCATGACAACAAGTGTGTAAGGTGAAAGGTCATCTTTATTTTTAGGTACCTTTCATTTCCTCCAACAACTCCTGCAAGTCTTGTGTTTACAAACTGTTACTAAAATAACATCAGCCTCTAAACGCTCTCACCCTTTGTTTCCTTCCAGTCTCCCTCGGCAGAGCCCAGATTAATTTTATGGGACATGGCGGTGATGACTCCAGTGTGGAAGGACTGGACCAGGGCAGCGGTGCTCGCCCCCAGAGCAGCACCGAGAGCAAACTTGCCCAGCCAGCCACTCCTTCCTCTGGGTAAGGAGGAACCGTTAGCTTGGACGAACTTCCGGGGAGCACCTGCCGCGGTAGTGGTTGAGAAGCGGTGGGCTCGGATTGCAGCGTCAACCTCCCCGCGAGCAGGACTCGCGACTGGCGTCCGTCCAAACTGGGGGCTGCCTCCCAGGGTAAAAAAGTGCTTGAACTTGACACCAGCTCTCTGGAAGTCGCTACGTACACAGGGCATCGAGCTGCTCATGCACGAAACCGCTCTGATATGTGAAGCTGATATTTGAAACGCCATGCCTGAGTAACACCGAGCAGGCCTGGCTGAAGAGTTGTGTTTCTAGTAAGAAAATGTCGACCAGTCACAGCCGTTAGTTTTCACTTTCGAGAGAAGCACAACTCTCACTAACACTTCCCATGTGCCATTTTTGTTTTGAATGTCAGCGGATGGGCTGTACCATTATGTGGGGGTGTCCGCTGAATTTACATTGGTAAAAGTAATATTTCATTGTCTAGTGCTAATGTTAAACAGCAATTAATAAAAATGAAACAATGAAAGGAAATTATGACTAAAATAAATGTTAGTTAACACTCAAAAAGAGATTAAACTCTGATTTTTGTGAGATGGAACAGTACAAACAGACGACGGAATTAACGCTGCCTTCAGGACTGTCGGCAATTGCAAATCAGCGGTTGATCAATCGTGTTTCCGATTATGAAAGGGTGATGTGTGTAGAGTGTATAGCAATTAGAGAAAATAATCTTAGTTACAAAATAACTCAAACCATTTTTTAACTGTAATTTAAAAGTTTTTGGAGGGAAAATTATGCTTTCGTGTCTGATTTTCATGATTTTATTAGTCCTTAATGAACTATGACTTATGAATTATCCCATTATTTTGCAAGAAATATAATTTATAGTATTCAAAATTTAAACTAAAATTGCTTTGTCCCTGTAACACTGGGCACCAGTATTTTTGTTCCATTCATCCATCCACTTTCAGTCGCTTATCCGGGGTTGGGTCGTGGGGACAGTAGCCTAAGCAGGGATGCCCAGACTTCCCTCTCCCCAGTCACTTTGGCCAGCTCCTCCGAGGAAATCCTAAGGTGTGCCCTGGCCAGCCGAGAGACATAGTCCCTCCAGCGTGTCCTGGGTCTTCCTTTAGGCCTTCTCCCAGTTGGACATGCCCAGAAAATCTCACCAGAGAGGCATCCTAACCAGATGCCCGAGCCACCTCAACTGGCTCCTCTCAATGTGGAGGAGTAGCGGTTCTACTCTGAGCCCCTCCCAGATGACCAAGCTTCTCACCCTATCTCTAAGGGAGAGCCCAGACACCCTGCGGAAAAAACTCATTTCAGCCGCTTGTATCTGCGACCTCAGTCTTTCAGTCACTAGACAAAGCTCGTGAGGGTAGGAACGTAGATCGATCTGGTAAATCGAGAGCTTTGCCCCTTCGGCTCAGCTCTCTCTTCACCAAAACAAATCGGTACAATGCCCTCATCACTGCAGACGCAACATCAATCCGCGTGTTGATCTCACGCTCCATTTTCCCCTCACTCATGAACAAGAGATATTTAAACTCTTCCACTTGGGGCAGGACCTTGTCCCTGACCTGTAGATGGCACTCTACCCTTTTCCAACTCAAAACGTATTATATATACAGTACAGCCCATAAGTTTGGACACACCTTGTCATTCAATGTGTTTTCTTTATTTTCATGAACATTTACATTAGGAGATTCTCACTGAAGGCATCAAAACTACGAATGAACACATGTGGAGTTATGTACTTAATCTAAAAAGGTGAAATAATTGAAAACGTATTTTATTTTCTATTTTCTTCTAAATAGCCACCTTTTGCTCTGATTACTCCTTTACACATTCTTGGCATTCTCTTGATGAACTTCAAGAGGTAGTCACCTGAAATGATTTTCCAACAGTCTTGAAGGAGTTCCCAGAGGTGTTTAGCACTTGTTGGCCCCTTTGGAAATGGTCATGGTCATGAAAATAAGGAAAACAAGTTCAATGAGAAGGTGTGTCCAAACTTTTGGCCTGTACTGTATATTTTTGTTCTACTTCGTTAAACATTTTGCTTCATGGATAAGCAAAAGCAAGAAAAGATTATTAGAAGGAATATCCCATTTTCCTAAATGATTCATTATTGACCTTGCAACCCAATTTATTTGTGAACGCAAGTGTTGTGTATCATCAGACACCCTGCCACTAAAAAGTTGAACCCTTTTCACACATTTCCGGCTGGCGGAAACTGACAAAGAAAAAAAAAAGGAACAAGTCTTTTTTGACAAGGGTGACTCAAGCAGCTAATGCAGGCACTGCACCACAGACCACAGCCAGCCACCCAACTCAAGAGAGGTTAAACTGTCTCACAGAAAGCCTGGGAAACTTCTTCAGAGATCTGACACAACTTCAAGGGTTCCACCATTTCCATTTGTCAAACGCTTGGACAGAGGAGACTGACGGTATTGTCCTTCAAACTAAGTCTGTGTGTGTGTGTGTGTGTGTGTGTGTGTGTGTGTGTGTGTGTGTGTGTGTGTGTGTGTGTGTGTGTGTGTGTGTGTGTGTGTGTGTGTCGGCATAAGTAACAGAGACAAGTCATAATATTGGACATTTACATAAGGGATTCTTTATAAAACGGCTACAAAACATGTGATAAGTCACAATCCTGTAATTAACATAATTTAGAAGAATAAACTTGATAGAGGTCAGATTTTATATTTGAAACATAAAACACAGCAGATATGGAGGGGTTCATACATTTAATTACTTCCATTATATCTTCACCGTCTTAGTCTGAGAATACATGATGAAAGGGAAAAGTGAAGTGTTTTAATTCTAAAAATAAGACTTTTGAAGCTCCTTTAATTGTGAAACACAAGAAGGTGGAGATAGCATTAGCATCAAATGAACAAGAAGGGCTGTGTTAGAAAGCGGAAGTGTGCGTCGGTGGTGATATTACAGCGCAGAAACAGGAAGAATTCATCAGAACAGACAATTAGTGGAAGGGCCCTTAAATCAGGCACTTTTTTTTATCTGACTAATAGGTTTTTGTTATCAGGTCACAGTCCTTTCTTTTTCCTAATGAGCCTTTAACATCTTCTAACAGCAAATATTCTATAATATTTCCAAGTGGTTGCACCTGTAATCTGCTTATTATTTTATTTGGATTTGTGAAATGAATTGTTTCTTAATGCACGATTTAACATTTTTATAGTGCAATTAAGGAAAATTATACGTTGCAATATAGCAGAAGTAAAAGCAGGTTTCCCATTTAGTTTGTACCGTTAAAACTGCCTTTTTGTTCACCGGTTCTCTTTTTCCTTTCTCGCTTTCCCCTCCTGAAATTACCTGTCGACTCGACTCAGCCACACTTGTCTCCTGCCTTTTCTCTCACTCTCTCTTCCTGTCTTCCTCACAGTATGGCGGCGTGGGACCTGTCAGTCACAGTGGAGGACCTGGGGCCTGACGCACCCCCTGTCACCATCAGTGTTGCCTCCGACCTCCACGTTGGAGGGGTTATCGTCAAGCTGGTAGAAAAGACACGTAGGTGGCTCTGTCTGCAGTCATTTCTCTTCGTCAGTCACATTGATTCACCTAAAATAGTTACATGCGTTTATATACAGAGCGTACAAGATTTAATGCATATAAGGATGTATCTGGTGAACTTATTTTACAAACTTTGATGTTAATATGCTTTTCTGTTTTCTTTTATTACTCTGACCAGTTTTCTGGTTATTCATTTTTCACATAGCTGTCATTGAAAACTCAGCATTACAACATAAAATTCATTTTTAAATGGATTTTTTTATACAAATGCAACTTGGTGCTTCTTGCAAGCAGTAAACTGTGATTTGATTACACAACCTTGTGATCCAGAGTCAGATATTTTGCTTTTGTGCCACAGGGTCGGTCTTTTGTACAGCTTTGTAAATACTGAATATCAAATTAGGTCTAGTTCTCTGAAGAACTGCAATAATGCCATTTCATTTTTATTGTCTGTTAACGTGCAGGATTCATAGAAAAAAATATTCCCATCTCACCCTCTGTGGGTGGTCTCATCCCTCCAAGCTCGGGTCCTCTACCAGAGGCCTGGAGCTTGAGGGTTCTGCAGCATCTTAGATGTTCCTAGAATTACGCTTTTCTGGACTGAGATGTCTGATGTTTTTCTTAGGAACTGCTTTATCTTCACTCTCCAGGCTGTACCAAGTTCTAATTTGCACCAGAGACATGGAAACTGACAGTATGCAGATATTCACGAGTATTGAAAGAGCTTTTGGGGGAAACTCACATATATTTTTTTCTGTCTTGTTTTGTGATATGTTTGCTTATTACACAAGGGTCATATGCAAAAACACAAAACAGTCCGTCCATAATAACTCAAAGAAGGGTGTAGGATCAATCTCGGCTCCCAGAAGAGAATTCTCCTATTGGGTCCTTGGGCAAAACACTTAACCCACCTCACCTGCTGGTGGTGGTTGGAGGGATCGGTGGCGCCTTTGCTCGGCAGCCTTGTCTCTGCCAGTGTGCCCCAGGGCAGCTGTGGCTTACACTGTAGTTCATCACCACTAGTGTGTGTGAATGGGTTAAGGGGAATGATACATTGTGTAAAGGGCTTTGGAGTCCTCTGACTCTGAAAAGTGCGGGTCATTTATCATTTGAACACATAATCCTCTAATCTAGAGGTCGACAGGCCAGCGTTGCCTCTCAGGGTCCCTGTTGTAACATCACAGATTACGATTGTTGTCATCAAGACAAATATGTTCTGAAAAGTGTGCTAAATCTGGATTCTGCAAGATTTCTGTTTTCAGGAAAATATAACATCACTACAGCTACTGAAGGCAGATTTAACAGCATGTTTAAATAAAGAATTCCATTCAGTTTTGAAAAATTGTGACTTTAGTTTGGTTCAAAGGTATTTGATCAGCTGGTTAAAAAGCACATGTCCCACTGGCAAGAGGCATGCACAAACCACCATCAAAGATGAATGACAGCTGAGAAAGATGTAATATGATGCTTTAACATACTGATGTATTTTATGGTCAAAGAGCTTTAAAAGGGGCTTTGTCCCTTCATCCTTCAGTGTGTCATGCAAAATGAACCATTCCATTCCATTTATTTGATAAAGCACATTTAAAAACAGCATGCGAGCTGACCAAAGTGCTGTACAGGGGTAAAAACATAAAATGTTAAACGAATAATATAAAAGAATAAAACAACTAGAGCATAGCACAAAGAACCAACCAAGAGAAGTCAATAAAATCAGTAAAAGATCAGTGTAAATAAACCATCGATAAAATAGCTAGGCAGTAAAAGCAAGGGAATAAAAGTAAGTCTTTAAGTGAGACTTAAAATCCCCAATGGAGGAGGTGAGTCTGATATTCAGCGGGAGATCATTCCAGAGTTTCGGAGCGCAGACAGAAAAAGCTCGTTCACCACGGGTTTTGCAGCGTTGACGGGGAATATGTAGTAGGTGTAGGTCACCTGAACGGTGAGTCCTGCCTGGCACATAAGGAGTGAGTAACTCGGATATGTAAGGTGGTGCTAAGCCATTCAGCGCCTTAAAAACAAACAATAAAATTTTAAAACGTATACGGTAGTGCACAGGAAGCCAGTGAAGTCTTGCTAAAATTGGAGTGATGTGCTGCCGACAGCCAGTATTGGTCAGAAATCTTGCTGTTGCATTTTGTATCAGCTGAAGGTGAGATAATGCGGCTTTTGAAATGCCAAAGAGAATTGCGTTGGAGTAGCCCAACCTTGAGGTGATGAAAGCGTGAATGGTTGTCTCGAGGTGGCGCCGATTCAGAATGGGTTTTAGTTTGGAAAGACGTCTCAGCTGATAAAAACATGATTTAACCATGTGATTAACATGAGGGTCCATTTTTAGAGCCACATCCATTTTAATTCCAAGATTAACAGTTGTTTGACTAATTTTAAAAGGAAGAGCAGAAAAATCAGGAGTGGAGGAAGACGTGCCATTAGGAGTAAAAACAATAAACTCGGTCTTTAAATCATTCAGCAGCAGAAAATTTGCTGACAGCCAGTCTTTAACCTCACTCAGGCAATCAAGGAGCGGCTGGATGGAGGTAAAAGTCTTCAATGGAACATAAATCTGGCAGTCGTCCGCATAAAGATGAAAGTTAATGTTAAACTTCCTGAAGATTAGTCCCAGTGGAAGAATATAAATGATAAATAAAAGGGGGCCGAGGATAGACCCCTGTGGCACGCCCCAAGGAAGAGCAGCAGAGGGAGATGAACAGTCGTCCATTCTAACTGTAATAGACCTGTTGTCAAAGTAGGAGCAGAACCAGTCAAGCGCGGATTCCTTAATGCTGACCAAAATCTCAAGGCGGGACAATAAAATGTCATGGTCAACTGTGTCAAATGCAGCTGAGAGGTCCAACATCACCAGGGCAACATGGGAACCGGAATCGGTGGCTAAAATAATATTAAAAACCCTGATGTGAGCGGATTCTGTGCTGTGATATTGTCTAAAACCAGACTGAAATTTATCCAAGACCCCAAAATTGTTCAGATGTGGCATAACTTGATTATAAACAGCCTTTTCCATCACTTTTGACAAGAAGGGGAGCTTTGAAATGGGGCGAAAGTTCCCGAGGTCAGTTGGGTCTAGGCCAGATTTTTTCAGTAGTGGTTGAAGCACGGCATGTTTAAAAACAGAGGGTATACAGTAATTCCCTAAACAAGGTTGGAGTTAATAATGTTGAGCACATGAGGAGCTACCACTGAAAAAACCTCCTGGAAGAGTCTGGCTGGTACAATGTCATCAGGACATCCTGATGGCTTCATGGAAAATATTAATCTCTCCAAGGCAGGCAGTGTGATCGGCTCAAAATGGTCAAAGCATCCTGTACAAACAGATACGGGTAGCAGAACATCTCCAGGGGAGATGATTAAACTCCTAATATTGGAGACTTTGTCTAGGAAAAAACTTAAAAATTGGGAGCAGCGATCATCTGTGATTGCAACCGTAGGAGAGTCATCAGTGGACAAAACTGCATTTAGCGTTTTATATAAAACCCTCTGGTTCCCAGAATGGGTAGTACAAATGCTGGCGAAGTATTTATTTCTAGAATTCCTGACTGCTTTCTGATATTCATCTAGTGCATTTCTAAAAAGCTCAAGGGAAATGGATAGTTTATCCTTCTTACATCTGCGTTCACACCTTCTGCATAATCTTCTGAGTTCATGTGTGTGAGAGTTTAACCAAGGGTCAGATTTTGGCTTAGGGCGTCTAACCTTTAAAGGAGCAACAGTATCCATCACCATGAGACAGGCTGAGTGAAAAACACGCAAAGCATCATCTGGATTGGTGTAAAATAGGGTGGAGGCCGGCAGTTCAGTGAAAGAAGCACAAAATCTATCAGCTGTAGCCGGAGTAATAACCCGTGTCTGGCGCAGCACCACAGGCCTTTTACCTAAGCTCATCGGACAATCAAAATCAAACAAAACTGGAAAAAGATCAGAAATGACAGTTTCGTCAACAGACAAATTGTTAACATTTATCCCATAAAACATCACTAAATCTAAAATATGAGACTGGTTATGGGTAGGAACCGACACAACCTGCTTAAGACCAATCAAGTGTATCAGTAAAGTCTTTCACAAGGGGCTTGGCAGGACAGCAAACATGAACATTAAAATCACCCATACCTTTAAAGACATCCTCATGCTTGCATTTAACAGTGGTCAATGTCCTGCATCTCTAGCATCTTTTAAAATATCATTCTCATTTGTTATTCATTCTGATGTGATTTGAACACACAGCCTTTCATCTGGAGTCAGTTGCACTACATTGCACCACAAGATCTTCATCAGCAAAGCTTTCTGACCCACTAAATATATGTGCCTTCTGTTAGGATATTTATAAAGTTTTTGGTTTTTGCATCCCTAATATAATGAAAATGTTTCAAAAGATTATCAACTTTGTCATATTTTAAAATAATTCCACAAATTAAGGACAGCTTTTACTCCTACCGTTATGCTCTTGAGCTAAAATTAAAAACATGTAAAGTGATCCAGAAGTCATTTGAACACTCAACCTTCCGACTTGGACTTAGTTGTGCTACCATTGTGCCACAGAAACGTTATAATAGGTCATTAACAGACTCAAATGTTTTCAGCATGAATTAAAACGATTTTATTTTTTGTTAAATATAGCAGCTTCTACCAACGTGCATCCACTCCAGAGCCAAATACACAATTTGTATGCTTTCAAAACCTTCCTTCATTCCCGACCCTTAGCTGTGGTGGTGGTCTGTCTCACTCCTGACCAGAAAGTGTGTGGTCAGTTGCAATCAGGATTTCTTTAGATGTTTATTAATAATTGACACATAACCGAAGGCTGCGGTTGGCACTAAATGCACTATGAATTATTACCGTGCGCTTTTCAGCAAAAATTGTTACTGTTGTTTACCCTCATGCGGTTGCCGTAGTGATATTTTTTTCTGGTGTATGTTTGTGTGTCCACCTTTTTTTCTCTTTTGCTGCAGGCCCAGAAGCAGATTATTCTACATCCTTTATTTTTTATTGTTATGGACCCCCCCCCCCCCCCCCCCCTCTTTTATTTCTGTCTCTGTGTTCGTTGGGATTTAAAACAACCAAAAATATTCTTAATAAAGTTTTGGTATCAGGCGTGGCGTTATGGCTGATGCTCTACCGCTCCACCTTTGAGAGTAAAACTGCAAAGCTTGTCTTCAGCACTCAGACTCTGATTGCTTGACAGCTGGAGAGGACACATAAAACACATGTTGAGTAATGGAACATCTGGGTTATGTGGAGTTTTAGTGTGCTAAATGTCATGCTGCGGCTTCTTGTGAGAGGCTTATTCACATCCTTGCAGTCATATTTGTCACAGAGCTTTTGATCATTGAAAACCTCTTTTTTTCATGATAGCTAACATAAAGCATTACCTTAATCACCTTAATCTAATGGAAGCATTCACCTCTGTCTTTGCTTTAGTGAATTATCTGGCGTTTCTTTAACAGAGATCAAGCGTGATTGGTCAGACCATGCTCTGTGGTGGGACCAGAAGAAGATGTGGCTGCTGCGAACAGCCTGGACTCTGGAGAAATATGGGATTCACGCAGACGCTCGGCTCATCTTCATGCCTCAGCACAGACCTCTGAAACTGGATTTACCCAACGGCAAGACGGTGAGGCTTAGGGCCTGCTTCTCCGACCCCGTCTTCCAGACCGTGATGGGCATCTGCAGACAGCTCAGTACGTTCCCTCTTTTCTGTCTGCTTCCTTTTTATATTCTGAAAGTTTGCATTTCAAGTTTTAAAAAGTCATGAAGAAATTAATGACCAACATCTAAATAAATGTTGTCACAGTAAATTAGCTCATCACAGTCTAACTTCAGGTTATGAATATGTTGCTCCTTTACTGGCTGTAACTCTTCATTATGGTCAGAGGCGGTTTTACCATTAGGCATAGGTAGGCGGCCGCCTGGGGCCCCCTTGTGTTGGGGGGCCCCCTAGCCCTGACCGCCAGCACCCCTCTGTTAATGCCACAATATTCTTATTACCAACCTGTGGCCGCAGACGGGATTGGACATGCGCACTTCTCATTACCATAATTCCTGAACCGTTCAAGATATCATTCAAATTCCAAAAGTGCTGAAAAGATTAAAAATGGGGCTTTTCGTGCATATACAATACATTACGGTAGCCACCGGGATTCCCTGTCTTGAGCGCACCGAATCACAACACAGATTCAGAGACGTGCTGAGTTTGTCATCCAAAATGCTCAGTTGTATAACTTTTGAACGGCTGATCAGATCCAGGAAATTCCAACGGTTCCTAAAAGTACATAAAAGCAGCTTTCCAACGATCTATAGCATGAAGCAATCAGAGTTAGGGAAAATATCGCTACGAGGGGAAATCCTGCTGTACAGCCTGATTGAAACGGAGCGCAGCGCCGCGGTGAAAGCGGATAACGGAACGGGGAAGCTAATTAGCATAAAAAGCCAGCAAGAAATTATGGAAACGCCTCAAAGAAAATCAACACGATCTATTAGGTGTCCCAGAAGGCTTATATCTGAAGACAGTGACCATGAAGAAGGACAGATCTCCAGTGAACCAGGATATGAACGTTTGTTCAGTCTTTATTTTTTTATTTGAACAACCCTCAACTATTTGCTAATTGTAAGATTCAGCATCATTCCAGCATTATTTATCTTTTTACAATAAATAATTATTTTTGCTAAAACAAATGTTTTTGGTATAGCAGTGCACGGTGTGCAAGAGAAGCACCCCATGGCGGTGTGAGGTGTGCAGGACTCTGCCTGCAGCTGAGAAGCTGCTTCAAGGTCTACCACATCAAATAAAAACGTCTGAAAGTTTACAAAAATAAAGTCTTAAAAACTGCTACAAGACACCAAGGTTCAAACTTTTTCAAGAATAGATGCATTTCAGTTCAAAGTTTAAATTGTTTGCCCAGTAATTTTGAAGTTCCTGTTCAGTAATTACTGTAAAAAATTCAAATCCGTTTTTTGCTTTTTTCACTTTTAAGCTGATTTTTTAAAGGCTGTAATAGAAATACATTCTAAATAGAAGAAGAAAATATCATTTCTATAGCGCCTCAAGATAAAAATCACGAGGCGCTTCACAAAAACAAAAATATAAATATAAAAAAGCATTTAGAAAATGTTTAAAAATATATTTAAAATGAGCAAAAATAGGCAATTGGATTTAAAAGAAAAAATGTTAAGAAAGAGAGAGAGAGTGAATAGGAAAGAGGGAAATCAGTGAGGAAGGTGGAATAGGTGGGGAGAGCAGAATAAAGAGAGAGTGGTGAAGAAGGTCATACAAAAGCCAGCTTGAACAGGTGAGTCTTCAACTGCTTTTTAAAGGAGACCACTGAGTCCACTGATCTCAGGCTCAGGGGAAGAGAGTTCCAGAGTCTGGGGGCCACAGCAGCAAATGATCTGTCACCTTTGGTCTTTAGCCTGGTGCTGCACAACCAGTAGGCTTTGATCACTGGACCTCAGGGACCTGCTGGGGGTGTAGGGACTAAGAAGATCACCAATGTAAGATGGTGCTTGTCCATGTAAGGCCCTATAGACCAGAACCAGGATTAAGAAATGAACCCTAAAGTTGACTGGCAGCCAGTGAAGCTGGAGGAGAAGTGGCTTCACGTTTCTTTTCGTGAAATGTTATAGTGGTTTGGAAATACAAACCATACACTGAAAGCTGAGGTTGTTCTGAAAAAAGGAGAAGAGTTACACACACTTTGCACTTTTTATTACAATTTTACAGCCATAAGATTAAAAAAAAACAGGCGGCCCTGTTATAATTATGGTCATAAGAGGGTTATTAAGACGGCGATGCACAAACAGGAAGTGATTGGTAGTCATTCCACTCCAATCCAGTTGGTGGCAGTAATGCACCAAATTGTTGTTTGCCAAGTGCCATAAGACCACAAATAAGAATAAGAAGAGAGGTGGGAGCATTCGTAACAAACTCAAAGTGATAGTCAAAAGATTAAGCATGACATGAAGTTATCCTAGTGGCTCCAATAAGAGGAAGAAGCAGCATGCTTCATAAAAGCTTTTATCTTCACTTCTGAAAGTGATGTTGTTTTTCGATGTAAACATCAAAAGGAAGCAGAAAGGAAAGACAATGGAAAATGTTTAAAGGGAAGAAAACAGACCAAAATGGAAAATAGAAAAAAAATAACTAAGGCTAAAGCACAGGAGCGCTGACAGAAAAAAGAAAGCAGAGCAAATATTGAAAGCACTCAAAGGGAGGGAAATACAGGAAAAAAAGAGGAGGACTAATAAAAAGGGAAAATAACTCATGTCAGAAGAGGGGAGAGTTTCGCAAATACAGTTAAAGGTAAGATTGTCGAAAATTTAGTGTAAGGGGCCCCATGTCTGTGTTCGCCTTGGGCCCCCAAATTGCTAAATCCGCCCCTGATTATGGTCATTGCCAGTAAAACAGAAACTCACTACTTTCTTAGATTTTCATTTATTCTGACATTTCGTCATCTCAATTCCTGGTCAGAAACCCCCAGAAAAAAAACTGTCAGCAGACTGGAAACGTTTCTGAAACACAAACAGGCAGCGGGGAAATAATCTGTAAAAAATAAAGTGTTTAAAAATAGAACGGCACCAGGTTCTCCTTACAGTAAAAGCGTCTTGGTCTCATCTAACAGTAGCTCCATCTGTAGTCAGCATGAGTTTTGTCACCAAAATATAATGACACTGTTTTAGGTGCATAAGGGCACGTGGTAATTACACAACTTTGATAATAGTTTGAGGTTTTCCGGTAAAGTAACAAGTGCCACCAGCTTTACGTAAAGTCATTGCAGCTTAATTTGTATCATCTACACTGATAAATAACATTATTATGTTATTTTAGTGGCTAAGGTTGCACATTTGATTGTATTTTCAGATGAAAAAATACATAACGTTGGTAATAAAGATGCCTTCTAGAACACAAGACAGTTAAATAATATAAGTTAAATAATCAGATAAACTCCACAGGACTCCTACCCACCAAAATAACTTTTGACCATACTTTCAGTAAACGTTGTTTTAGGACAAACTAAAAATGTTTGTACACTGAGCTGAGAATCATCAGGACCACCTCATCTGGGCTCAGATGTGCTTAAATTGCACCAGATGTTCAGTTATAACTCTCACAACAGGGTCATTATCTGCCATTTTTTAACCCTTTAGCTTCCTCTGCACCAAGAAAGAAGCAATGTAAGAATCACCCTCTTGCATTGTTTGATTTGGGGCAGTAAGGGCTTTAGTTTAAATGACATTGTAAAACTTGTAAATGTAAATGAATATTAGTAAAAATAAACTGTAATAATATCAGGGTAACAATAACACATTGTAATAATGTCGTGCCTTTTCTTCAAACAACTCCATGCACTGTAGAATTGTTTTTCTTGTTAGGTTAATTTAATGTTTCAGTGAGAAGTAGGGACTTAGATATGCTCTACCAGTTGCTTGATTGGGCAGATAAAGGGTTCAAATGTTTTGTACAATCAATGCAGGCTGTGCATTTGGTGAGTGAGAGTCCAGCCTTCTGGGTTCAGGCAGGAACATCAACAGGCCCTGGTGTGACTTGAACACTCAACCTTCTGATCTGGAGTCAGATGCACTACCATTCACCACAGGCTCCATTTGAGACCGTCACTAGATGCAGGACTGAGCTGTGGTGACATTATGAGGTTTTTAAATAATCATAAGTCCTACAGTTACTACAAGTAACATAATTTAGTGTGTATATGCTGTGTTACATTAAATGTGTCTCATTCAGGACAGGTTCACACAAAGTCTTGTGAAGGAGACTTAAGAAAGTGGAGATCTCATTATTATTCTTGTATTTTGAGTTATCTCACTTTCAGTTTTTTTGTTTCACCAAGTGGATTAATTTGTTGGTGGGCAAGTCTGCTGCAGGTGTTCTGTTTTCATTAAGCTTGAGTAGGTCAGGTTTGTCTTGTTGGTTAAATTATTCTCCTTGGGAAAACATTAAATGTTTTGGTAACACTTTACAATAAGGGTCCCTTTATTAACATAACAATATTACATTATTAAGCATTAATAAACTATCCAATAACAACTGCTTAACCGTATTATGTAATGCAGTACAAAGCAGACCATGTTACCACCATAAGGTGCAGTCTTTGTTCCTGCAGCAACATGTTCTTCTACGTGTTTATTTCCATCGAGGTTGAAGTTGAGAGGCCTTCACTTTCTTTTTACCCTCCACAGACATCCGTCACCCAGAGGAGCTCTCCCTCCTCCGTCCTGTGGAGGAGAAGAAGAAGAAGAAGGATAAAGATCTGACTGAGGAGATCTACGACCTGACTGAGGTGCCCCTTTCCTCGGGTACACCCTTCACACTTTATTTACACTAAAAAACAAAACAGCACCTTTGTAAAAAAAAAAAAAGTTTATAAATAGAAATTTAAGACCTGTGTAGAGTCAAATAATCTACTGTAGCTTCAGGCGATGAAGTGTTATACATGTAATGTGTTGTAACCGTGGAAACAATCATCTCTGAACTCACACTTCCCTGGCAGTGTCCCGGCCCTGTTTGTACAACGGCATGCCGGCTCACTTTGCTGAATCAGAGAAGATGGAGGCTGTCTACAAGATGCTATCCATCACTCAGACTCCTCCTGCCCCCGAGGTCATCACCAAGCAGTATCGGCCTGCCAGCGTGGTGGACAAGGCTCACATCAATGGCAGGTGGGTCTGCAGATGCATTAAATGTCTGTGACGCCTTTACAGAACTTTACAGATTTTAAGTCCAGAACAGATAATCTGGGATTATCATGTTGTGAAAATAAACTGATTATGACTAAAACTTTGTTGCCAGGTGGTTGGACTCATCACGTTGTCTCATGCAGCAGAACATCCAAGAAAACGACAGACTCTGGCTTCGCTTCAAGTACTACACCTTCTATGAGCTAGACCCCAAGGTGTGTGAGCATGTTTGTGTGCGCGCTGTTCATAAATATACACGGCGTGTGTATTTTAATTTGTTCTTCACATGGCTGTCCTCCTCTGCAGTACGATGTTGTTCGCCTGACGCAGCTGTACGAGCAGGCCCGCTGGGCCATCCTGCTGGAGGACATCGACTGCACCGAGGAGGAGATGATGCTTTTTGGAGCTCTGCAGGTAGAAAACAGCTAAACCAGTTCATGTTCAACCGTTTCTTTACAAGTGTGTTTGATATTAAGCAGAATCTGTGTCTGAATTTTACAACAGAGAAATAATCAATCTCGGCTTCATGCTGAAGGATGATAAAAGAACATTAGGATCAGAGCAATATCTGAAAAATAAAAACTCTGGCAATTTGAATAAAAGCTTGAATAAAACTTGAGGCCTTGTGTTAAGCATCAAATGCAAACAGGCATGAAAAACTGGAGTAATAAAGAGATGGGTTATGTCCACTAAAATTAATTAATCCGCTAAAGAAGTCAAAAAGACAATAACTTCAAGTTAATGCAGCCAAAAAAACACAATATATTTGAAACTGGGTGGATTTACATTTCTGGATGTAAAAGTGGACACAGCACACGTTTTTATGTATTTTTCATCAGATTTTACATATGTGGCATTAAAGGTCTGCTCCTCTCTTGCTCTTGAAATCCTCTAGTACCACATCAGTAAGGTTTCTCAGTCGGAGCCCCAGGCGCTGAGCACCAACACGGCCATGGATGACTTGGAGTCGGCCCTTCTGTCCCTGGAGGTCAAGATGGAGGGAGAGAGCAGCTCTGCGACTGAGCTGCTGGTCAGACACATTTACTGACTTACTTTAAACTTTTGCTTTAAAACTAACAGCTCATTTTAGGATATGAAAGTCATCAAATAAATAAAATTATTTACTATCAGCTGAAAAGGTAAATAAATGATCAGAGATGATCTGATGTTCATAAAGAAGTAACATTTCTAAATGCTTTCCATACAGGAAACCATGACTGCACCAGAGCTGAACGACTACTTAAAGATATTTAGGTGAGACGTGTTATAAACTAAGCATGTCAAACAATGGGACCTGGTAACAGAGGAAAGTGTTTTGATAACGCGGAGCTGTGTGAATGTACGTTTCAGGCCTAAGAGACTCACGCTGAAGGGATACAAACAGTACTGGTTCAAGTTTCAGGATACTTCCATCGCTTATTTCAAAAGCAAAGAGGAGAGCATTGGAGAGCCCATTCAACAGATTAACCTGAAAGGTGCAGAAACAGCATTTTATGATCCACTTAAGACCTCTTTTAAAGAAACTGCTGAAGTTTTACACTGAAAGCTGAAAGATTTGTTCATAATTTTGCACATTTTGCTACTGAAAAGTGAAACTTAAACTGTCCCGCTCGCAGGTTGTGAGGTGGCTCCAGACGTTAACGTGGCAGCACAGAAGTTCCTGATCAGACTGCTGATCCCAGCACCTGAAGGCATGAACGAGGTCTTTCTGCGCTGTGAAAATGTGAGCTTCTCATCTCTCTACATATGACACCCTGTCTTTTCCCGCCACTTTCATCTTTAAAGTCACATACCGGTCTCACTCTTTCTGTCTGGGGTTGGGGTTTTGCAGGAGCGGCAGTACGCTCAGTGGATGGCAGGATGCCGGCTGGCCTCCAAAGGCAAGAGCCTGGCAGACAGCAGCTTCCAGAGTGAGATTCAGAGCATCCGCTCATTCCTGGCTATGCAAAGAAACAACTCTGGTTCCAGTTCCAATGCAGCATCAAGTGACGAAAGCATCAACACTCACAGTCTGGTATCGCCACGCTATCATAAGAAGTACAAGACCAAACAGGTATTTGGACATAAAAATAAACTTGTGAGGTGGTTTTAGCAGTGGGAAAATACTGTTGTTGTTGTTAATGTGTAGTCATTTTATGTAAATGAGGTAACCAAACAGCTTTTAACTTCTCTCGTTTGCTTCCAAGGCAGCACACACATAATTATATCTGACATTTTTCCCTGTGCCTGCCCGCCCTAGCTGACCCCTCGGATCCTGGACGCGTACCAGAACGTGGCTCAGCTCTCGCTGTCAGATGCACTGATGCGCTTCCTGCAGATTTGGCAGGCCCTGCCTGACTTTGGACTCTCATATGTTGTTGTCAGGTTAGATTTAAAAAGTTAAATTTTAAAGCTTTCGGGAATGGATTTTGTGCCAGGAATGATTTCAAAGTTAAAACTCAAGCGCGTCGTGTGTTAACAGGGTTCTGAGCAAAGACTGTACTCGTGCTGAGTTCCCTTTTCGGCTCTTCCGCCTTAACGCTGAGGAAATGTGCATCTTTTAAAAGCTGTTGGCAGAGAAATTTCTGAATGTGCACAGCAGTAAATAAGGACAAGTCCATCATTTGACCGCAGCAAAAGGCTTCTGATTTTAAAAAGGGCACGCTCCTAGAACTTTTGATTCTTAGAAGTTGCTATGACTGTATTTATGCCCAACAGGTTTAAGGGTAGTCGTAAGGACGAGGTTCTGGGCATAGCCCCTAACCGGCTAATCCGCATCGACTTGGGAGTGGGTGATGTGGTGAAGACGTGGCGCTACAACAACATGAAGCAGTGGAACGTCAACTGGGACATTCGACAGGTCAGAAACTGACCGTCAGTCTGACATCACCAATGTCTCTCCAGCGTGATGAGTGTTGCTGTATTACGTTCTGTAAAGTTGTGGAGTTTCTAGTAACGGGAAGGTGTACAGACAGTGGTGCACCCAGAAAATATTCATATAGGGCATGGCTATTCAATTCCAGGCCTGGAGGTCCGGTGTCCAGCACGTTTTAGTTTTAACTCCGTCTCAACACACCTGATTTCAGTCAGAAGGTGATTGACGGGCTTCTGCAGAGTCTGATGAGCTGCTGCACAGGTGATTCAAGTGTGTTGAATCAGAGAAACCACTAAAAGAGGAATGATGAGATGTTCTGATTAGAAACTGAAACACAAGACTGAAACTAAAGAAGGTAAACACACTTTAAGATAATAAAATCTAAAAAGCTACCCACTAAAACCCTTCAGATTAGGTTGTATATTACTGGTATCATCTCCTGCGGCTACACACTGCTCACCACACTAATGCCGGGCTGCTTTCTGTTACGTTGCTCAGGTGGCCATCGAGTTTGAAGGGAACGTGAACATCGCCTTCAGCTGCGTGACTGCAGACTGCAGGATCGTTCACGAGTTTATCGGAGGATACATTTTCATGTCAACACGCAGCCGCGAGAAGAGCGACGTACTCAACCAAGAGCTTTTTCACAAGCTGACAGGAGGTCATGAAGCGCTTTAAGAGTGAAACACACAAAGATTGATGTCTACCAGAGGACCCACCACAACCTTGGAAAACCAAAGTGATGGACAGAGATACAGAAATAACATGAAGCTGTTTTTGAATGCAGGTGTTTTATAATCTTTCAGTCTGTGCAGATTTGGATCTGCCATTGATTCTTAACTCACATGTTTTTTTAACTGAATCAATGAATGTCACACTTAAGTTCAGACTGATGGACTGCTGCTGAATGAAACGGCAGGTCAGCCGGTCCAAGAACAGTGGGCTTGATAATCCAGCTTCCAGAAAATGTTAAATCAACAACTGGCTCAGACACTTGCCTTTTTCCAGCCACTCTATCAAACATGGTAATCGGTATTTCTCAGTATAAAAAGCTTTGCTGAATCATTCTCACCAGGACTGGTCTTGTAATAAAAATGACACTGAAGCAGCTAGAAGATCACAAATAAGTTTTTTATAAGAGCATGACATTATTGCCTAGAAAATCAAAAATGACTTTTTACGGCAAACAAACATTTGTTTAGTCTTCTATTCACACTAGTATGAAGATGCTGGTTGGTTTTATTGTTTCTGAAGGTGTCAGCTCATTATCTCCCCTTCACATGTGGCGTGTGGCGTGTGTGTGTGTGTGTGTGTGTGTGTGTGTGTGTGTGTGTGTGTGTGTGTGTGTGTGTGTGTGTGTGTGTGTGTGTGTGTGCGCGCTTCCGTATCTCTTGACTGTTAGGGCTGTCTGTTAAACCACAGCATCTGCATCCTCTTTTTTTCCCAGGCCAAGTCAAGGGATTAACCAGAGAGAATCGTGTCTTGTGTCCTCTTGGTAAAACATCTTTGTATTTTAGGTCTAATAGCATTTATTTAGCACTGACAAGGCTAATGGAAATCAAGACCTCACTATTTCTTTATTTAAAAAGGGCTACAGGGTTGTCATGAGTATTATTATGACAGTGGTTACATTTGCCTTTTTCTTTACTGTCTTAAATAAACAATTTAATTCAGACTAGTTCCAAAAAGGACTTCTGAACAGGCCTTTCCAGTGTTATTCACGTTGTTTCAACAGGTCACTTGTTGAGGACCTGTTAGGATCGTCAGCACTAACAACACAAGCAGGGAGCTGAAAGGGGGAGGGGCCAAAGACTCATGGGACCTTAAAGAGCAAGTCACCCCCAAATCAACGTTTTTTTCTGATAAACTATACAAAAATGTGTGTCTAATCGTGCTGCAGACACGTGTAGTTAATAGTTTTGTACTTGAGTGCATTTTAGTTAAAATTGTAATTTTCTGCCTAAAACTGTCAGTGTTGTGCCGTTGTCAGGGAAAAACTCTGCAATGCATTAGAATTTAAATCTGCCACCGCTATTGGCTAAGAGGTATGCTATGATGTCAACTGGTCCTTATGATGTCACAATGCCGTTGTGAGCCTGTGTGTGTGTGTATTTGTTAGCGGCTCCGCCCTCTCTGTCTGCTAGGCAACAGCATTTGTTGCATTTTTCAAACATGAAGAGGGAGTGAAGTAAGTTTCTTGTAGGGGGTGACTTGCTCTTTAAAGGCCTCATTAGTAATAACAGCCTCACCAGACCACACCTTATAAACCTTCTACTTCCAACCCAAGTTTCAGAACTAAAGAATCTTCTTGGATGAGAGGCGGAACGCCTTCAAGGAAAACAAGAACAGTCCAGTTGTTTCCAAGGAAACCGTGAAGTAAACAATAAGCAAACGTGTGACATAGTTAGATGAGTCAGATTGACAGCTCAGCGGTCTCAGCTGTTGTTACTCCAGTGGCAGGAGGCATCCTGAAAAACAGCATGATATTGACCTGAATGTACCGGATTGAACTACAAAAAAAAAATCTCAAACAACTATTTTGTATGAAGTTTTTCTTACTTGTAGGCTTCAGTCTTACAGCCTGGGTGAAGTATTTAGGGAGAAGTTTACCCTCAGCATTGCCTGCAGTCAGCAGCACGCCATTCTCTGACCAGAAAAACTCAATTCCATCTGTTCAAGTCAGACACACACATAAAACACTTGTTGGGGATTTATTTTTACACACACTGGGTGGCTGTAGAAGGTTGGACACCAGCCATGATTGGCTAATCTCACCAGCAAGGGCTTTGGAGACATCAATAAACACAGCGAGATCACAATTTCCCCTCATGCCTGGTGGAAAAAAAGAATAACACTGTTTGCTGATTTGTTCTACAATGCTTGGCTAGATGGTTTTGTCTTTTAGACTAAAACACGAAGCATGTACCGCTTATAACACCCTCCTCTCCTGGCAGCCCGGGCGCCAGGTGAATGTGAGTCCTGCTCATGCGGCTCAGGCCTTGCTGTTTTATGGCGCTCCAGTTGTGGAGGTAGGAGCCATGGACAGCCTCAACAGGGCAGTCTGGGGAACCAGCCAGAACTGGTTTCAGCTCCAGATCTGTAACCTGATCAAAGGAGCATAAATGTGGTTCTGACAGGATTGGGATTTTCCAAAGACTTGTTTAACTTGGTGAATAAGTTAAGCTTGATTTTAACCTTAATCATGCTTTATTTTACTAATAGTTACATGAAGAAAATATTATAGAGCTGGGTGACAAAATTATAGCAATATATGTTTTTTTAATTATGTTTCCGACATATGAGAACGAGTTGATAAACAACAAGCACATCAACAACCAATCATTTTGAGTGTTACTCCACAATGAGCCTGGAATAGAGCCACACTGCAGTCAATACAAAGATTGATAATATATGATGATATATATTTGATCAACATATGTTTATGACAGCCAGGGGAGCTGCTAACAGCTAATGATGGAAATGGAAAAAATTTGGGGGGAAATATGAGGGTGTTGAAAAAGAAAATATGAAGGGCACAGCCAATGCCATTGTTGACAAAAATTATAAGATAATTTTCTAAATATTTTCTGCATAAAAATCCATCCATCCATTTTCTGAACCCGCTTGTCCATGTAGTATCACGGGGGGAGGGGGGGGGGGGGGGCTGGTGCCCATCTCCAGCGGTCAATGGGCAATCAGGCGGGGTACACCCTGGACAGAGAGCCAGTCCACCGCAGGGCAACACAGAGACACACAATCATGCACACACACGCGCACGCACGCACGCACGCACACACACACACACACACACACCTAAGGACAATTTAGACAGACCAATCAATCTAACATGTTTTTGGACTGTGGGAGGAAGCCGGAGTACCCGGAGAGAACCCACGCATGCACAAGGAGAACATGCAAACTCCATGCAGAAAGATCCCAGGCCGGGAAGCGAACCCAGGACCTTCATGCTGCAAGGCAACAGTTCTAACCACTGCGCAGCCCAGCATAAAAATCAATTATACTAATTAAGTCAAATCACATGAAGGTTGAAAAACTTCTCATTTTGTTCACTTGACAGGTGTTTGCATCCCCTACCTGTACTGAATGACCCTGATTGGCCCGAATCTGCAGTCGGCCATTCTCTGGGTGGGAGAGCAGCTTAAAACGCTGCTTATCGTTCGTAGCTACCACTCTCTTGACATCTTCTATTGTGTATGAGCGGAACTGTGAGTGAGCCAGGAGATCCTCCAAAAACAGGAAGCCATCTGTCAGGATGAGAACGGTTATGGCTTTGGTCACATTTTTACAGTTGAATTTTTCTTCATGCACATGCTAGTTTCAGATTATCTTGTGATACCAAGATCAAAAATATTTTTTATATGAACACTCTGTAGGACCTCCCCTTAAAAAACAGACAATTTAATGGGACCTACATTAAACATTTTCTTGTTTATTTTTTATTTAAGTCAGATAATTGGTATTTTTCATTTGTATGGTAAATGGTAAATGGCCTGTATTTGATATAGCGCCTTCTAGAGTCCTGGAACCCCTCAAGGCGCTTTACAACACAATCAGTCATTCACCCATTCACACACTGGTGGGGATGAGCTACAATGTAGCCACTGCTGCCCTGGGGCACACTGACAGAGGCGAGGCTGCCGAGCACAGGCGCCACCGGTCCCTCCGACCACCACCAGTTAATGAATTAATTGTATCAGAATATCTACTATATCTCACCTGTGCCCATGTGAAGGCCCATGTTCCTGGCTCCATGACGTAGAACATAAGTCATGGATTTAGACAGGCGAACATCTCTGTCCTGCTGATGGAGAGGACACGTGACCAAAGTCAGGTTCTACTCTAATTATAGCCTTGGTGTAAATAGACCAGGTCTTCATGTTGAGTCAAACTACTCGTGGCTTCATAATTCAGATATTTCTAAATCAACAAATGTATCACAGTGACTACAGTCGCTCTGACTCGCTCACCTCCGCACTACGATGTCCTTTTCCTCCTCTCTTTCCTCCTCTTTTGGTACTGTCCATGAAAACAGACTTGATCAGCAGCTTTTGAGAAGTGCCATAAACTGAGCAGTTTTAAATTCTGTTTCGTTTCTTTCTAGCTCCACTGGTGGTTTACAAACATGTTGTTTTATATTCAGTTAATAACCAAGCACAATATTTTTTGTGGTCTCTAGTCCAGCTTCTACTTCCTGTAAGTTTCATCTGTCCATCTGTAGGAGGCGGTGTGGGGTGAAGGGATGTGGCTAGCTAGCACCACAGAAGAAGAGCAGAAGAAAAACAATAAATGCGTGCTAAACATCGCTGGATTTTTGCAGGTAAGAAAGTATTTCCTTACAGTCGTGAAAATTCATATAAAATATACACGTTTTGGGTTTTTTCTCTGTCACATTTTTAATCTGTGGGGGCTAGTAGTTTAGATCTGTGGTTTAGAATGTAAAGCTAACTGGTGTTAGCATCGCTGAGCTAAGGTTTGTTTTCAGAGATACGTGCATGTACACGTTTGATAAAATGGAAACCGTGTTGTCCGTGAGGGGTTTCCCCTCATCTACTTGTACAATCTTTAGTTGATATTTAACGTTGCACAAAAAGGTTTTGCTCCTGCCGGTGGAGTGGACCCACAAAATCAGGCTGGTCTCCATGGAAACGCTGAGAGAAACGTCAAAGTAGGGCGACAGTTTGAGGACTCGACTGTCAGGAAACAGCTTTTAAAGAAGGAAACACGCTGTAGTCTGTGAGTCTTTAGCATGTTTAAACTAGAGTTCTAAATGTAATCTGTACATTTAGTTGCTTGCTAATCTTAAAAAATACGTATCTAAATAATGTTCATAGAAGCAAGCGGTTAAACTTAAAATTAGGTACCAGACTCAAAACGAGTGTGAAAAGTAGCCAAAGTTAACCTTTGAAGGGTTTACATTAAACTTGAAGAGATGTTTGATTATAATAAAAGATTACATGAAAGTGATTAGATTAATCAAGTTATCTAAATTTCTTTATCCAGTCATTCAATCAGCAGTGCTGTTGTATCAGTGGCTCCAGTTAGGCTCAGCGTTGTATCTCACAGAAGGAGCAGTTACTTAAATTTCATTGTTTACACTTTCAGAAGGACATTTAGTAAAGTGGAGAGGTGTTAGAAATCAACTGAGTTAGAAGTTCATAGACTGCATTTTAAGGAACCTATAACATCTTTGGTTGAGATGGTGAAAAACTCCAGACCTGCATACTTTGCTCAGCTGATATCCTCAAAAAAAAACAAACCTTGTTTAACACCATTAATCAGAAAGTTTCACCTCACATTGCCCCTGAGAGCATGGGGTCATCTGAATTTTAGTGTTTTTGGCCGCTCAAAACGCTGGTGTGAAACTGTTTTTATCACTGAGAAATATTACCATACTGCGAAGGTTGGTGTCAAAACATGAACTTGAAATGGTTATCCATGCCTTTATCTCCTCCCGTCTAGATTACTGTAACACAATTTTCACATGTTTTAACAAAAAAGCCCTTGACTGCCTTCAGTTGGTCCAGAACTCTGCAGCGAGGTTCCTAACTGGAGCAAACAGAAGAGCACACCTCACTCCTATTCTGATGTCTCTGCACTGGTTACCCATTAACTTTAGAGTTCATTTTAGAATCCTGACTATAACTTTCAGGGCTCTACATGGTCAAGCTCCTCCCTATATTACTGAACTGTTAAAGCCTTATGCTCCAACCCGAGCCCTCAGGTCCACACACCAGAACCTTCCAGAAGTTCTAAACACCAGATACAAAAGTCGCTTTTTCCAGGCTGTTGCACCCCGACTTTGGAATGAACTTTCTTTGTTTATACGTATTATTGAAAGTCTGGGCTGACACCTTTTAAAAAGCAGCAGAAGACCCTTTTATTTTAAGTCACGTTTGTGTTAGTCTTTTATGGTTTTTATTTTTCATTTGTATTTTGATCTTTTTGGTTTTTAATGATTTTTTTTATCTTTTAATCATGTTTTAACCTTGATTTTATTTTCTTTTTGTGGTAGGTGTTATTTTAATACACTTTAAAAAGAAACTCTGGATACTTAATAGCAATAGTTGATTGTGTATGTAATTCAGCTATACTATGTAGATTTTAATGGGTAATGTATATGTTTACGATACCGTTATATTGACTGATTACTTGATGTATTTGTTTATATTTTTATTTTTGACCTTTAGTCTAGTATTTTAGCACTTACTGATTTTCACTTTTAACTTGTATTTATTTAATTGATTGATTGATTTGTAATTTTAACTTGCTGAGGACTGTTTTATCTGTATTATGCAATTTCTGTAAGGCGACCTTGAGAGTCCTGAAAGGTGCTACAAATAAAATGTATTATAATAATTATTATTATTATTAAATGTAAAGAAATGAGGTGATCCTAGACATGCAAATACTGTATTTTGTGAGCCAAAAAATAAACTTGCAGCACACACAAGATGTGTACTAGACGTGTATCTTTAGTAACATTCCAGTGTCATTAGTTATATCTTTGGCATTTTTAGCAAATTGTTGAAGTTGCCATTTTTAATTGTGTTGCTTAATTGATCAATCCTCTTGTTATGACAAATGCCCTGTGGATTTCTACAGTTGATGCACTTTTATCTTCCATTCTTAGATCATGGAGTTCCCTCAGCATTCGCAGCAATTGCTGTCAGCGCTGCGTTCCCAGCGCCAGCGGGGCTTCCTTTGTGACTGCATTGTATTGGTGGGCTCATCTCGATTCCTGGCTCACCGAGCTGTTTTGGCCTCCTGCTCTCCCTTCTTCCACATGTTCTACTCTGACTCTCCAGGGGGAAACAGCAACAGCAGCTCTGTGACACTTGACAATGACATTGTCACATCGGCTGCATTTGGCTTGCTCTTGGACTTTGTGTACGAAGGTGTGCTCCAGCTGGAGGAGTCGCTTCCAGTGGAGGACATTTTGGCAGCCGCGAGCTTTCTCCACATGAACGAAGTGGTGAGGGTGTGTAAGAGGCGACTGCAGAGACAAGGGCCTCTGGCTGAGGCAGACAGCACACGCTCTGAGGAAAGTGGAGGATTGAGGAAAGCAGCAGAAACGAGGACAGCGGGCGACCATAGAACTGAGCCCTTGGATAACATGGGAGCAGACCACTCAGTCCCAATCACCATAGCAACGTCACTATCATCAGCATCCCAAGTGGCAGAAAGAAGTCAGGTGGAGGGTGTGAAGTCTGAGCAGAGGACTAGTGGGGGTTCATCGAAGGAACAAGTTCCAACCCCTCTGAGCCCTGAGCTGGCTGACACCACTCAGCCTGGCATGGACCCAGGTGGGGAGCTGGTGCAGACTCTTATAGTAAACCAGTCCAGCCTGACTTCAGGGGGTCACACCAGGATTAGGAGGGGTCGTCAGGACAAAGCATCTGCTCTGTGCAGTCCCTGTAGCACCACAGAGACATGCAGGTAAGAGTCTGATGATTATTGGTTAGAAAAATAAAATAATGGTGAGGTCACTACGGTTTATTTTAGTAGATGTTTTTATTATTTCAGGGTTTCTGAATTTATGATTATTTATATTAGGCCTATGGAAAAAATGCAGTCTCTCCAGAATATGATTTATTTTAGATATTTAATTAACGGCATTGAATTTTTATCGTGTAAAATTACGTTGTTTTTTTAACTTAAAATACACCAGCAAAAATTACATCTTATCTTTCGAAAATTCAACATCTGCGGTGAATCCTGGTGACCCAAGCCAAAGTAATCGTCACTCAGTCAAGTCGAGTAGCTTTTAGCCAATCAAATTACGTGTCTGGGTCAACTTGATTGAGTGACAGTTGTTTTGGCTGAGATCACCAGTCTGAGTTGTGTGTTTTATTCCCTCATCTTTTATTTTATTACACACGTTCTTTCATGTTATGGTTTCAACCATGTAAATCCTTACAGCATTTCATAATAGGAATGTTTTATTGAAATATTTCTCATTTAAAGTATTGATGAACATTCTTCTTCTTGTAACTGACAGGCTCCATTATTTTGTTAATTTTTCACCAGCCATAGCCGTAGCCAGCAACCCTCCTCCTCCTCCTCCTCCACTCTGGTCCCAGTGAGCCAGGCTGGCGGTCGCTCAGTAGCTGCTTTTAACCAGTCAGGATCTCGTCCCCCCGTCAGCACACACCCAGATGAGCTCCAGCCTCCCCGTGATCACTCTCCTGAGAATTCATCTGAGTCTGACCTTAGACACACTGACCATAGAGAACATCAGATGGTTGTATCAGTCCAAGCACCAACTCTCACAGCAAACTTCCAAACAAACCCAGGAGACTCAGCAGTTCAGCAAACTCCCCAAATCAGGATTCAGAGCGCAATATCGCTCCAGCGCCAGAGTTTGGACTGCCAACATGCTCCTCAGTCTCTTACACTTCAAAGGCCAGTGGACACTGAAGCTTCGCCTACTACTAGAAAGAAACGTTCTCACCCCAGACTTAGTACAAACCAAGATAGAGGGGCTGTAAAAGTTAAAGAGGAGGCCATTGTTATTTCTGATGAAGAGCTAGAAGAGGAGAACGAGGAAGGAAGGGAAGGAGAGTCAGTGATGGACGTGGAAGATGAGTTTGAGGAAGATATCCAGGATGAAGAGATGAGCAGCCCTCAGTTTCTCTCCTCTCATTCACAGGCCCTCTTACAAATCACCACCCATTCAAATGACTACTCCTTCCCCCTCTCTCCATCTTCCTCTTCTTCTGGCGCTGGACCGTCCTCACAGGAAGCTTCCTCCTTTGCTGCGTCTCTCATTCCTCCGTCCACATCTCAGCAGCAGTCAGACCCTCCTGCTTACTTCCAAGAGCTCCAGGATTCTATGGGCAACTTTGTGGAAGATGTCCCAACATGCAGCGCCTGTGGAAAGACGTTCTCATGTACATACACTCTAAGGCGCCATGCCATTGTGCACACACGCGAACGTCCATATGAGTGTCGCTACTGCTACAGAAGCTACACACAGTCGGGTGACTTGTATCGACACATTCGTAAAGCCCACGACCAGAGTCTGCCAGCAAAACGCAGCAAGGCTCACTCTGAGCCCTCTTTACCACAACAACCGCCTCCGCCTCTTAGCTAACACACACTATCAGAGCTCCTCTGACACTAGTTTACGTCTACCCTAATGTTAAATGCCACTTTTATCATTTACTAAATATTTTGTTTATGTTTATGTATTTAGCAGACGCTTTTGTCCAAAGCGACTTACAAGTGATAATTGGCATGTTGCCCTTGAGGCTAACAACAACAATAACAACAACAACTTGACATCAGTCAAGGAGAGGAGGGAACAAGGAGTGGACAGTAGAGAGGGGGGACGGGTGCAGGCAAGGTGCTAGTTTAGAAGATGCTCTCTGAAGAGCAGGGTCTTCAGGAGTTTCTTGAAAATTGAAAAGGAAGACCCTGTTCTTGTAGTGCTTGGAAGGTCATTCCACGTTTGTGGAACGATGCATGAGAAGAGTCTGGATTGTCCTGAGCGTGGTGTAGGCACTGCTAGCCGACGATCCTGTGATGACCGGAGCGGCCGGGCCGAGACGTAAGCCTTTGCAAGAGGATTCAGGTAGATGGGAGCCGTACCATCTCGGACTTTTAAGATATTTTATTAAAACTATTTGTTATCTCTCATCTTCAGGTTAACTGTGTTTAAAAATAGTCTAGTTATCTAAAAACACTAAATGTTACCATTTCAAAAGAAAACTGCAACAACTTTGCAACTTTCCCTCCACCACCAAAGCACAAATACACCGTAAGTCTTGCAGCATAACCCCCAGCGTTGGAGCAGTTTTATTCAGTTTATCTTGTCTGATGTCACCATCAGCGTGTAACACAAGTGCGATGCTGATCTGGTACCTGCCATGCTACATTTAGTCATATTTAAGAGGCTTTTTACAGTCTAGGTTTGTCATTTGAACCATTTTTCTTGTGCATTGTTCAATTAAACATTCTTACACCAGACATCGTAAGAATGGATGATTATTAAGGAGCTGTATTTTAATGTCTTAATAGAATAATGTCAAGTGTTTGCCATGTTAATGTATATAACGGAAAGCTATAGTTATAATTCAATAGGTTTTGATACATGACTGTCCTGTCTGTGTGACTGTACCAGCAAATGTAGTGGTGATGTCATGTTTTACAGGGTTAATCCAACCGAGCCCAGCAAGAGGCAAACGTGTTTAAATTATCTAGTTAAAAAAACGTTTTATAACTTTAGTTTTTCTGTTTTTAATGCGCTTTGTTCAATAATAGATTCACTGTAAGCTGTATTTATCCAGTGTGCCAAAGTGTTTTCTTTCACCTCGTCTTTTATTCTTTCAACGTGAGCCAGAGTGCTGGGGGAGTGGGGGTGTTGCAGCTGTAGGACGTATGTAACAAACATGTGGTACTTCTTAGAAAACAGGACAATCTCTTAAAATTAAGATAAATTTAGTAATAAAAAAGCAGTTTATACTTAACAAGTGTTGACAGTTTTCATCCAGATCTCTAATTCTATTTTTCCACTTCAGTTTGAATTAAAATGAAGGGATCCGCTGTTAGTTCTGTTTTACCAAGTGTGACCCTTTTCTAGTGCACACACACGTGCACGTTTCTGCCTTATTTATATAATGTAAAGTTGGACTGTGCCTGAAGAACTTTTTGAAATGTGTACAGTGAAGTGTGAGCAGAATTTAGCATACAAGCCAATGACTTTGAAAGTGATCAAAGGCGGTGAATATTTAGTGTTTTTTTGGTTGTGAACGTCCAAAATCTAATTGTTGTGAATAAAAATAATCTTGTGAAGGTGGCACAAATGTGGCTGTTTTCCATTAAATCACACAATATACCAGCCAGTAATGTTTTGTCTTTATTTACAATTTTTTTTAATAAAATGTGAGCAATAATTGGTACAATATAATAGCTGGCTCTGTTATCGTTGGTTAGCTGGCAGCAAGATGTGTACCACTTGGAAAAAGCTGAAGAGACATCGGCCCTAACAGGGTGTTTTATCAGTCTGTTCATTCAGCTACCGGCCCGTGGATCTGTGAAAAAACAAAACAGTAGCATCCAACTTCAAATCCATACACCAGCTTGTGTTTTCTATAGTTCTTAGTTCCTAATGAAGTTTGTGTTTAGGCAAATAGGAACAAGTAAATGTTGCTCCTACATGTGCTCACATTCCAGCTTTACCTTATATGTCAGAGATTATAAGTAAAGTCACAGCTGTTCAGTTTAATCTTTCCATCATCCAGATAAAGTTAGACTAATTAACTTACAGCATCTGCAAGCTCAGGCCAGTCCATGGCCATCACCACAGTATCATCAGAGGTTGGAGGAGTTTCCAGGTTCCAGTAGGTGAGTTTGTTAAACACAGATGATACCCTCACTGTCCTGTCCTGGGGACACACACACACACACACACACACGTATAAATTAACATGTAGAAATGACAGAAAATCGCCTTAAGTGTTTGATGTTTACCTCCTGGTCAGAGCCATGCTTGTTGATCTCCTTCAACACCAGGCCTGTGTAGCCCTGTGGACAGCTGATTTCCTGTCCTTTCAGACCACGTCCTCTGAATGACACCGTCTTCTCTGTAATTAGAAAACTAAATGATAAACTGTTGCTGGACTAACTAAACTACTGAAAGTTAGATACTTGTAGTAAGCGACACGGACCGCCAGTAGAGACATGTTACAAGTAACAGATGTGAGACTGTGTACCTTGTTTACGGTCTTTTGTAGTAGAAGTAAAATATTCTGAGACCCGGGCAGGTCCATTATACTCAATCTCACAGGGCATGAGGTGGACCTGGGCCTGTTTGACCTGCCCCAGTGAAGTCACATCAAGATGTGTTACACTGGTGTTACAGCTCATCCTGTAGCCAGAACACAAGAGACTGAACAGATTACACTAAAAGAGTCATTTTAGACATTTTCCAAACAAGATTTTTTTCTGCTGCAGAGGTCTCTTCCTTTTTCTCTGAGCAACACAAAGCCTAACATGACTTAATCTGAGCGTAGATCACAACTTGGTGGTTGGCTATTTGCTTTTCTATTGATATAATTGTTATTTATACGCATTAGATGGCTTCATCTCTTCTTTTAGGTGTAAATAAATGCAGAACCTTCATCTAAAAATAATATATTTACATTTCTATTATTACTTTTGTCCTTTTTAGGAAAACACGCCATACTCCCTTGTATTTATCTCTTTATTTCCTTTTTCCTCTACTGTCAAACTATATTTATGTCCTGTTTTCATTATAACTACTATCACCATCATCATCTAAACACAAATGTTTTCTGCACTCACTAGAACTGACATTAAAAACAGTTTGTTAGACAAAGTAAATAATAGTTACTGAAGTTATTTAGAGGGAAATTCAAAAGCTGAAAATAAATTTAAATGCTGCATCACATAAACACTTCCCTACTACAGGATTAAAACTACATTATTACCCAGGACTTTTTGTTCTGCTCAAATACTATTATACATGTAGTTAAACCGTTTAAACTAACGTTGGATAAATAAATCTCCACGTTTACCTTTCTACTGTTTTCCAAACGCGTAACGGAACTACTTCCGCATAATGTGAGACACTCGTTTGATTGGATAAAATTTTTCTTCTTCTACTTCAAGGACATTTTGGCGAGGTGTTTCCGTTCTGTCGCAGATTATCGCCCCCTGTTGGTGAGGTTTAACTTGGCTTTGACGTTCAACAATGAAAAATAAGAAATTTCTTTTTTACTTTTTACTTACAAATGTGTGAGACTTGGAGATCACATTAGTGGGTTTATTTTTGTTCATTACGTATACGAGTAATTCGTGTTTTATCTAAATAAATAAAAACCTTTGAGCTAAAATGCCCTAGATAAAATATTTCATTATTTGGACCTGAACTGCAACCAGTGGGACAGGGAACATTGAAGTGCTAGGAGGAATATTGAGTTAATAAACTAAAAGCTAGTTTTAGTTTAAAAAAAAGATGTTTTGTCACTGCCAATATTATAATTTATACAATTTAAGGTTGACTTAAAAAAATGAGTGTCAAACAGTATGATAATCTTGCTGAATCATCTTCTTGGGGGGAAAAAATCACCAAAATGTTTGCTAAATTGGTCAAATACATATTGTCACCCCCCAGAGAGGGTGTAACTAAATATTAAACATGCTTAGTGCCGAGTAGTTCAGGGTAATGTTTTTGTTTTTGTTTGTTTTTTGCAAGGACAGCAAACATCCCTGCTAAAGCAGCATTTCATGAAAGAAAACTTTAAAATGGCAAATGTGAACTACACAGAAAACATTTACAATTTATTTACCTAATCATCTGCTGATCAGTAAAGTAGCCACATGTGAATTTATGATGAACCAAGCAGGTGAGGAGCTGCCAATCAGAGTCAGAAATAGAAAACGTATAAAATAATCTATTAAAGTCCTATTCACAAGATTAAAAAAAGCTTTATGAAACAGTAAGAGGGCAAACTAACACAAACCCCCCAAAAGGATGAACTCAAATGTAAACTTTAATAATCAAACATATACATTTCATTAATTTAATCATTATATCATTGTTCTACACTGTAGGGGTCTCATCTACACTGTAGGGGTCTCATGGAGACACTGGAGAAAAAACTGACATGTATATATATGCTCTAGTTGGAAGAGTCCCCTGTTCTTGTGGGCTGGACTAAACCGGTCCCGCTTTGGGCTCAGAGGCACTGAGGATGAGATCCTTGAAGCCTGTTGTTTGTGTTTCACCAGAGAGGACTGAGAAACGTCGGGTCTGATTTCCCAACAGCTCATATTTGGTCCAAAAGAAACCAGAGGTGAGTTCATCTCATAAGGACAGAAGGAAATGTAATTCAGATGTATGCTTTTTTAACTTTTGGTTTAAAAATACTTAGTTTACTTTTCAAAAACTTCTCCCTGCCTATGAGTTCATCTTAAAAATGTTGATTTTCAATGGAAATGAAATCTAACATGAGTGACAACAACTAGAACCTAAATAACTCGACCTTACAGTAACCGACCTTTTATCCACCTTTTAAAACCTGACTAATTTCTCCCTCTTTGAGCAGAAACCTTACCGTCAGGCTGATACTGTAGAGTCAAATGGTATGAAAGATTCTCCCTCATGACTGTGATTGGACTCAGTGGTTTGCATCTCTCTGAATGTACAGGATTGTTCTCTTACTTTGTAACGTCGTCTGTCTGCTTTTTATAAGTCTGTACATAATTTCTCGTCTTTAAATTCCAAGAAAATCTCAACCCAAGAACCTTCCAGCCGTCAGTTTTAATTATTGTGAAATCTAACTGTTACTTTTTGGCTGTTTTACTCCTTTCATTCATTTCTTTTCCATAATTTAAATCAATGTGTTCAAATGTTCCGCTCCTCTGATTTTATCCTTCCAGAGGTCAGAATTTATGGAGCAGAAAAGCCATCTGCCTTCAGATGATGTGGGGGGACTTTCAGTCATCATTAGTCGTGCTCTAGTGAAGATCCAGGATGCTGTTGCCATAGCGATTCTAGAGGCACGTCGGAGACTTTTACAGGGCTTCACCATCTTCTCCATCGTACTTCTGCTCCTCAGTGTTGCTGCTTTTCTCTACGGGAGCTTCTACTACTCCTACATGCCCAGGGCAGCCTTCTCCACACCTGTGCACTATTACTACAGGTGTGTACATCACTGCTAGTTTCTCCTTGTTGTTTATTTTCCTCCTCTTAATTTTCACAATTTCTTTACATTTTTCTTTCAACAGGACAGATTGTGAATCTCTATCTTCCTTTTTGTGCTCTCACCCTGTCTCCAACGTCTCTTTGATGAGAGACAAGAAACATGTCAGTTTATCTGTATTGTTCTATTGAATGGTCAACTCACTGTTTAGTAAATTCGCCGGTTAAACTGAGATTTTGTTAAATGTGTGAGCAGGCGCTGACCTTTGGCCAGATTTATCGGATCTATTTGCAGCTGGAGATGCCTGATTCTCCAACCAACCAGCAGGTGGGGATGTTCATGATAAAGATGGCCTGCTTCTCCCAGGATGGAGAGCAAGTTGCAACATCTGCTCGCTCTGTAAGCTGCTGCTGTGTCTCCACACACCAATAAATAAATAAATAAATAACTAGATTTGTCAGTGTTTGTGATGATTTGTGCTGAAATGTGTTTCCCAGGCAAGCCAGCTGCAAAAGGCCTCCAGCTCCCGCATTGTGAGTACAGTAAAGCATTTTTGCCCACACAGCCTGGTATTATAGCTGCTCCTGTGGAGCTCCACTGCAGTAGAGGGGATCTCTGTGGTGATTATAAGAAGACATGAGCTGAACTCAGGAGGCTCAACTGAATCAAGTTGGTTAAATACTGTAAAAATAGAACTGGTGCAACAGTTGTTCTATAAGCATATATTTGAAAATGTCCATGAAATTCCCATATTTAGTTTAAAAAAGAGGAAATGCAGTAAAGTTGAGCAAAGGAGTAATTATTAAATCAGAACATTTTGAAGGAAATCCGCCGGTGTAGAGAGAAGTTTGGTCTCATTCTCTTAGATCAGTGGTTCCTAACCTGGGGGTCCCGACCCCCACAAGGGGGCGCCAAAGCCTCTCAGTGGGTCGCCAGGACCTCTCCACTTTAAGGGGTTAAAACTTCATTTATTACTTGTTTATAGCCTACATTTTGCTCACATTTTTTTCATGAGTGAAAAGTTTACTGATATTAAGACAGGAAATAATTAGTACAGAAAAAGTAACACACTTTTAAGAACATTTTGCTCAGCTCACTGTTTTATTTTCAAGTGTCAAAAGTTCATTAAAGATAGGACTGGTTCATTAATCACAGCCTTTACAGTAAATAATCTAGTATAAACAGTAATATACACATTTAAGTACATTTTGCTCAGTGATATTTTTTATGTGTCAAACGTTTATTGAAAGGAATGATTGATTTATCAGTGTTTACAAGAAACAATGTGTTCAGAAAAGTAATACAAACTGTCAAGCACATTATGCTCTGTTTGGTTTTGTTAATGACTTTGTTCTGCACTGGAGCCTACTATTACTGTTATCTATTGAATCAAAGCATATTAAAATGTGCTTGAACAATTTTATCATTTATTAATACTGTTTGTACTGGAAGAGAGAATAGGAGGGGGTCGTCAAAAAATTTTACTGGTAAAAAACGGGGTCCCTTGGGAAAAAGGTTGGGAACCACTGTCTTATGGGCCATTCCCATCTGTACCGGGTCGGCCCGGGCCGGGTAGCGTAGGTTGTTTACATATCTGGGTGGTCTGGTATTTTTCCGGGCCAACCAAGGCTCATTCTCAGCCCTCTTCTCCAGGGGGTCTGCTTCAGGCCGACCAGGGCCAACACACCCACTGCTGACAGCAAATTCACACCTTCCATTAGAGCAAGCCTCGGATTGGTGGGTAGAATCAGCCCACATGGGCTTAAGGCAAGGATGTGTGGAATCAACCGGGCCAGGCTGGGGCCGACCGGTGCTACCCGGCCCGGGCCGACCCGGTACAGATGGGTATGGCCCATTAGATGATGAATTGTGAGTTATCCTAACTTATTGGTCCTAATTTAACTGCTTCATTATATTAAAAGCCAAGTATTTCTTAAAGAAATGCACATCTCCCACCATCTTTCATTTCAGATCATCTCATGTTGAGAAAGGATGATAAAATGTTATGTGTGACCTCATAATGTCACTAGATCTGGTGTGGACGGTCGGCTACTGACACAACTAATGGAGATGCAGTTTCACTGTGGTGGTCATCATACATTCACTTTTAATGTTAATTGGTTTTAGCTGTACTTCAAAGGATGTGGTGTGAGAGTTTGAACATTTACCCTCTACCAACAAGACTGCAGACTGAATGAGGCAAAGACAAATTCAAACTTTTAGGGCACAATGCAGGTCTTTCCTGGAGATGAACAAATCATCCTTCAGTGTTTACTTTTCCAAAGCTTTAATTATTCAGGACAGGAGCAGCTCAAGAGGTAGAGCAAGTTGTCCAGTAATTGGAAGGTTGCAGGTTCGATCTCGGCTCCTGCTAGAGAATGCTGCTGTTGTGTCCTTGGGCAAGACACTTCACCTGCCTTGCCCGCTGGTGGTGGTTGGAGGAACCGGTGGAGCCAGTATTCGGCAGTCTCACTTCCATCAGTGCACCCTAGAGCAGCTGTAGCTCATCATCATCAGTGTGTGAATGTGTGTGTAAATGAGTGCATGACTGATTGTGCCGTGAAGAGCTTTGGGGGGCTGTAGAACCTTAAGAATATGCTATACGAATACAGGCCGTTTACCATAAAATCATGGGTAATTATTTTCAACTCTTTTATCCTGATACCAGAAACATCATTCCTTATACAACAATAATAATAATAATAATAATAACAACAATAATAATAATAATAATAATAATAAAGGGTGGGAGTCAATTAAAAAATCTAATTAGTTAGAGGCTTTGTAATGAATTAATCTTGATTAATCACATTTTATTCATTCAAGACCATTTGTGCCCAAGCTACTTAATGTTTAATACATTACTTTTTCTAATTAATACCTTGAATTCTCTCCCAAAATAATCAGATTGTATTGTAAACAAGGTCTTTTGCAATATGTAGTTGTTAGGTCATCCACCAGAGGGCAGAGAAGTCATGAAAAGAATTGATGAAGCAGGTTTTATAGAAGAGTACAAATCCTGTTAAAGTGGCAGAACTCCTAGAAATAGGAGTATTAAGTCTAATGCATTTGGTAATTTAGTGTTAACTTGTTTTGCTCTCATATTGGGAGGTCAAGGGTCAGATGAAGATTCCCCACAAGCTGCATTTTTCTCTAAATCTCATATAAAACAGCAGAATATGCTCTCAAACACGCCAACAAATCAGAGATCCTGGTATGGGAAGTGTGCACCAGTAACAAAATAAAAATATGTATTTTATGCATTAAAATGTGAAAATTAAAGCATTTGTCAGTAGAAAAATAGAGTCAGAAGGATTTAGAGTTAGATTTGTATTTTAATGAGTCCCATTCACACAGATCAGTAGAGAACATGTAGATTATTTTAAACCAGTGAAAGTTCATGAATCAGCAGATATCTGCTTTTGTTACATTTGAATAAAAATGTAACCTGACCAGTGAGTACTGACGTTGCAGCTTTACCATTTATGTACTCCTTTCAGTCATCTTGTCTTTGATCCGATAGCTGTTATCATCTGTCTGTTGTGATCAGGGCATGCTGCGCTACCAGTCAGACCTGCTGAAGACTCTGGGGATGCTGCTGTTCCTCCCAATGTTTCTGAGCGGCGCAGCTGAGCAGAAACAGGTCCTGGAGGTGGAGCTCTTCTCAGAATACACAGACGACCCTGTGAGACATAGGGGGGTGTAATCTATTCTAATCTATGTATAAATATAAGTCAGAATAAATTATTTTACTCTCGTTGTGTCTAGTACTCTCCGTCAGTCACAGCGGTCATTGAGATAATGTCCAGCACGATCCAGATCTACTCCTCCCAGCTCTACATCCACGCTCATTTCACTGGCATAAGGTGAGCTTTATCAAAGAGAATCTTCCTGTAGCAAATCAAATATCTGATGATATATTACAACATTTAGATATGTTGCCTCCCTGATGGTTTGGGTTTACTGATCAGACTTTCAGGGACCTGAAGAAAGATACAGAGACATCGGGACTCAAATGTCTACACAGGAAGTGAAAGTCTCAGTTGAAAACAGCCACAAAAAAAAAAAACACAAACCTATTTTAAAAACACAGAATGATACAACCCAGGGGTTTTACTTTCATGTAAAAGTGATTTCTTGAGATTTTTTTGTGTCACAAAGGTCCACAGCTTCATGCCTCCACCCATGATTAGACTCTACACCACGAGGAAAACTCAAAAACGACTCTTCAGTCATCATTAAGAAGCATTTTATTAATACTGATGTTGTTTTCTCGTTCATTATTACAAGAAATATTACAAAATGACACATATTTTTATTTTTCATCAAGTGAAAAAATAAAATACACTATGTCAAGCAGTAACAACCTTTTTCCTCTTTTTGTCATCAGATATTTGCTGTTCTACTTTCCCGTCCTGTCGGCCATTGTGGGTGTGCTAAGTAACTTCATCTTCCTCAGCTTCCTCTTCATCCTGAGCTACACGAGGCAGCTGTTCAAAGTGGAGCAGACACCTGAACAGGTGAGAGGACAGATGTAATACTCCGTGCTGAAGAATGCGGGCAATAAGCTGTTTGTCATGATTTTCAGGTGATGACAGATGATCATCTCGAGTTGGTGGAGAACAGAAACCACAAGCTGCAGGATGGAAATGCAGCTGCTGCAAGTAAAACATACTAAAGATGTCTCAGACAAGAACAGTGTCTAATGTCCGTGGTCTACTGTAATATTGAGACAGTCTATAAAATGTCTTTGTAGTGATTTTCATTACTTCTTTGGCAGATCCTGCAGAGCTGCTTGGTCCCCTGCAGACTGATCCCTCAGACCTGAGCCAAGAGGAGTCCCATCTCCAATTTGGCAACACCACAGAGCCACAGAACTGAAAAATGCATGTTCAGGGTGGAACAAATGATTCTGAGGCGCCTGGTGAAGGACAAGAGAGAGAATGCAGAAAGTGGTCTGTGAAGCCTGAAAGGATTAAGATGATGTTTTAACTTTATAGCCACAAAACCCTGTGTATCCTGGAGTCTCTGACTAGTAAACTTTCTTCTTCACTCCTTTTATCGCTTTCAATTTTGTTGGTTTAAATATTTAACTGTCGTTCTTGGGTTAAAATCACATCTACTGTGAAGGAACAAACTGGAATATCATCTCTAAACTCATTGCTTTACTCGTAGTTTTCTTTGTGTCTTATTAGAAAATAAAATGTTTTATTCATTCCTTTTTAAAACCAGTGTTCTTACAATGTCTCTTTATGACATGAAAATGAAGTGTTTTAGTCCTTTTCTGCATTTAACACATCCTCAGATGTGATTTAATTTAACACATCTCCAGTAATTGTTCCATTCAGAGAACATCTGTATGAAACTCAAGTTTCTACAGTCTGAAAGACATAATCAGGACTTTGACCAAACTAATCTTAAGTAGATTGTGTTTTGGTTTAGAATAGAATAGACTTTATTGATCCCACAGTGGGGAAACACACTTGTTACAGCAGCACCAACACTCAGAGAATAATTTGAAGAAAAGTTATAACAAAGGTACATGTATATACACATAAGCAGTAAGCCAGTATTGTAACCTTTGACTGTTAAAAACCACAAATATAAATGAAAAACTTGGGTTCTAGAACTATGCAGCATACTGTAAGGAACACAGACATACCATGTAAATCAGATACTGCACAAGTACTGCGTATTGATGTTACTGTGTAACAGGATAATGCCAGTACCAGTTAAACTGAGAAGTTATACACTCTTACTGCAGAGGGAATGAAAGATCTACGGTAGCGTTCTGTTTTACATCTGGATGTCTCAGTCTGCCTCTGAAGGAGCTGTCCATAGTCTCCACAGTGGAATGCAGTGTGTGTGTGTGTGTGTGGGGGGGGGGAGTTTTTTTTTCTTCTTTTTTGTAAATAGAGGTCAGCTTCCCCAGCATCCTTTCACACATCTCTTCAGCTGAATCCAGTGAGCAGCCCAGAACCAAGCATCCTGTCTCGGTCAGAGATGCCTGCATCCCAACAGACCACAGCAGAGTTGATGACCGGGCCAACAACAGAGAGAAATCTTCCATTTTTGGTTCCTTTTAAAACACAGGAAAGGTTTCTCTACCTTGCTGACAGTTTTGTTTGCCGACTGCAAAACATCTTCAGAGTCAAACACAGAAAGAACGTACCAAAGGAGAGAGATAAAAAAGATTTTAGCAGAAGGCAATTGTTACGTCCCCTCTAGCGTCTAGTAGTGGTGAGGGGAGAACACAGAGAAAAATAAAATAATGTTAAATAAAAAGGGAACGAATCACCGATGGATGGTGTCTGTTTGTGATGGTATTTAAGTGAATGGAAGGAGGTTAACTGAATGGTTGTTTAAAAAGGTTCATTAACAAAAAGTTGGATTAAGGGTAAGTAATAAGTAAACTAAAATAAACTCCCTTTTTCTAAAACAGGGAGCAGCAAACCAACCACAAGCTTAAAGCGCTCTCTCTGGTGTTGACCAGAGAGAGGAACCCAAAAAGGGAAAATATGCCTAGTTAAACCAAACCAAGCACTAAAGAAGCGAAAGGAGAACCCTAAACCATTACCAAAACCAAAACGACCCACAAAACAGAAGCTAGAAATCTCCTTAACTAAAAATCCTCCAAAACAAAACAAAGAGCCAAGCTAAACTGAGGATTAGGAGATTAACCGTAACTGGAGGCAAAAAGGCACAATTTATCTATATCTTTTATCTATATCAAAACTCTGGGACACTAACAGCAAACCAAAAACCCAAGAATGGAGATCACAGTAACTAGTAACAGAGTCTATGAGCGATAACAGTTTTAACACCAGGTCTCCTCTGTAGCTGTGTCTCCCAGAATGATGGAGTTGGGAGGCTTAAGAAGGCTTCAGGAACAGCTGATGCTTGATTGGGTACAGCTGCTCCACAACACTCTCTGCTGGCCTCTGGTGGTGTGCGGCTGGGTTGCAGGACTTGGGGCCTGAAGCAGGAGATCACCAGGAGAGCAGAGAGCAGAACCCCTGGGTTCGTCACAGGAATTAACTCAGAAGGACTTCAGCCTCCTCAGGAGGTGGATTTTCACCTGTGGATGTTTTATGTTGGTCTTCTAGATTGTTTAAATTCAAACATTTTCTCTGGAGAAATGTGCTGTGTGTAACTCTCCAGAGTCCTCCTGGTGCTCAAACACCATCACACCTCACATATAAGAATTAAAGTGACTTTTAGACCTTCTTTAGAGACTCACACTCATCATCTTTACTGCTTCATCCTCAGGAAACTTGTGTCCAACTCCTTTTGCAAGATGTGAGGGTATCAATACACCTGTCCACAACCTCAGCAGTCATACTCCAAACTCCCAAGAGCTGTCAGAAACAAAATTGTAGACCTGTACCAGTCTGGGCAGACTGAATCTGCAATAGGTAAGCAGCTTGGTTTGAAGAAACTGTGGGAGCAATTATTAGAAAGTGGAAGACATTCAAGACCACTGATAATCTCCCTCGATCAGGGGCTCCATGCAAGATCTCACCCCGTGGGGTCAAAATGATCACGAGAACGGTGAGCAAAAATCTCAGAACTACACGGGGGGACCTAGTGAATGACCTGCAGAGAGCTGGGACCAAAGTTACAAAGGCTACCATCCATAACACACTACACCCATAGGGACTCAAATCCTGCTGTGCCAGTACATGTGCAGGCCCATCTGAAGTTTGCTAGAGAACATTTGGATGATCCAAAAAAGGACTGGGAGAATGTCTAATGGTCAGATGAAACCAACATAGAACATTTTGATTAAAACACTACTGTCTGTGTTTGGAGAAGAAAGAATTCTGTAAAGCATGGGGGTGGAAACATCATGCTTTGGGGTTGTTTTTCTGCAAAGGGATCAGGATTATTGATCTGTGTAACAGAAAGAATGAACGTGCCTTGTCAGATTTTGAGTAAAAACCTTCTTCCATCAGCAAGGGCATTGAAGATGAAACATGGATGGGCCTTTCAGCATGACAATGATCCCAAACACACCGACCAGGTAATGAAGGAGTGGCTTCATAAGAAGCATTTCATGGTCCTGGAGTGGCCTAGCTAGTCTCCACATCTCAACCCCCGTAGAAAATCTTTGGAGGGAGTTGAAAGTCCATGTTGCCCAGCAACAGCCCCAAATCATCGCTGCTCGTGAGGAGATCTGCATGGAGGAATGAACCAAAATACCAGCAACAGAGTGTTAAAACCTTATGAAGACTTACAAAAAATGTTTGACCTGTCATTGCCAAGAAAGAGTAAAAGTACAAGTAAGAGTACTGAGATGGACTCTTGTTATTGACTAAATACTTCTTTCCACCATGATTTGCAGATCAATTCCTTAAAAATCAGTTCATGTTAATTTCTGGATATTTTTTCTCCTTTTGTCCCTCATAGCTGAGGTACACCTATGATAAAAATGACAGACCTCTGTCCCACTGTAGAGAACCTGTTAAAGTCGATATTAAAAACAAACAAATGTCAAGTTGTGTTTAAAGCTTCTTCAACTTTCTGCATGTTACACCCCCCCCCCCCCCCCCACACACACACACACACACACACAGACTAAATTTGAAGAAAACCCTGCAGTTTCAGAAGTTCAGATTGTTTGACAGCTCCAGACAGTGAAACCAATTTTATTCCACCGCTCAGAGCGCTGTGTGATGCTGTCATTCCTGAAAGTCATCCCGCCCTGTGGCACTGTTGGCTGAATTCTATTAGCCAGCCCCAGATGAAGTCTTTGGAAACTTCACGTCACTGCATGCAAAATGTGGCTCTAGCAGAAAGAATGGGAGCAAGCTGTTCAGTGTCAGGCACAAGATTTCTGTAGAAGACGACAAGGTGGAGACGGGTCAGTGAGTCAGAATTGGTTTTATTTCCCCATTTGTGTCTTATTTAGATGACTTGTAAATGTTTTGACTTTTTCTTTTACGCCTGTACGTCCATTTCCTGATTAGTATTCAAAACTGTTCTTTGTAAACATTTCCCTGTTGCACAAGCACATGTTGTGTCCATGGAACAGAGTCACACTCTCTGCTCCACACGGGACACAGAAATGGACTCTGCAGATGACAGCAAGCACATGGAGAGGATGGAGATGGAAACAGAGGACGTAGACTTGTGCATCAGCGTCCCCGCTAGGAAATACCAACACCTGTCCAGAGAGGGGTTCAGCAGCTGCAGTGGGAGCAGAGCAAGATTCAGACCCAGACTCCAGGCCACTAAAAGCTTTCCTCCTTACAGTCAGTGTATTGGTGGACTAGGAGGAGATGGAGATTGGAAAAATGAGCCCATGGCAGAATCAAACGTGGCCTCCCAGCCAAAAGAGAGGGGTGATCTAAGTGAAGATGTGAAAAGGAAACCAGATGTGGCTGCCAAGTGTTCAAGAGATGCGCTCAGGACCAAACAGAGATTCAGGATGAAGGATATGTCAGGGAGCAGCTTTGATGGGGGCACGGTTGAGTCGGAGAAAGGCAGATTGAGTGGGAAAAGAAGAGTGGAGGAGGGTGGTGAAGAAATGGAGAACAACACTGAAGAGAGAAAAGGGGGGTCGAATAGTGAGGGAAAACACGGGAGGGTGGCAAGCTGCACTTTAGAGAAAAAAGAAGAGGAAGGAGGCAGGGAGACCTATTCTCCTTTAGCGGTGCAGCAGGACAACAACTGCAGCATGGAGACCTCTGAGGGGCAGAGTGTGGAAACACACCGGCATCCAATCCTCTCCAAACTGTTGCACTCCTCCACCTCCTCCTCCTCCTGTTCCTCCATCAACCTCTCATCAGATGAAAGCGATGAATTCTTCAGTGAAGGAGAAGATGCTGCTTCCAAAAGGAAGACCTTCAGGAAGGTGAGAACTCCTAATCCAGGATACTTGAATGCACTTAAAAATAATGTGTTTTTGTCACTTTTAACACACGGACATGCTCTCTGTGCACCGGGCTGCTCTGGTTTTCCATGGAAGAGAAGTAAAACCATGTTTCTCAACTGTTCTTTGCACCTGTGGTCCTGCTGATTTGCATGGGCTTGAAAGAGGACTTTGACAAGGTCAGATTTGAATGGCGTTTGCATGGCTGGCTGCTGCTCCTGCAGTAGATACGAGTAAAGGGAGGAGCAGATGATGGGAAGACAGCTAAAAACTGCATGTTTATTCTGTTTGCCGAGAGTTTGCATTATTGACATGTAAAAAATTTCACATATGAAAAATTTGTTTTAACATATTTTATTTACTGCTGCATTTTTATTTTAGCTGCGTTCAGCTGTTTTGTACCCGTGTCTCTACTGAGCATGCTCACATCTGATTCGGCTATTTGTTTTTAACTTTTTCAGCACCTCGTCCAAGTGTGGAAGCAGCTGTTTTGTGAATATACAAAGTAGATCTTAAGGTTACAGCTATGCTCTGTGTTATGGGACAATAACTGTGAACACTTTTAGATCTTCTGGTGTGCCCAGAGTGTTTTGGTGCATTTTCAGTGGGCGTTGAGGCCAAATTAAACTAATTTATCGTGGCAGCAGCAGGCAGATATGAAAGAATCTGGAGGTATGCCCCTCTTGACTTTTGTGTGCTTTTCAGAGGTGAAATCGAGCAATGAATAAATACGCGTCATACCATGGTAAAGCATATAATAAAAGATGAGTAATTTACACAGCTTTATTAAATTGGATGTTTTGACCCATAACAGCTGTGAATAATAACCTTGACGATGGAGGAACATAATTTAGGCGTTCAGTGTTTGTCTGCTCTGGAGTGGTTCTCTTATCAGTCTGATCGTTCCTTCCCTGTGGCTGTCTCCAAGTTTTGGTCCTCCACCACCTCCCTCGCCCATAATATTCCACAAGGTTCTGTGCTGGGGCCTCTACTTTTCCTCCTCCATCTGCTTCTTTTCTGAGCTCCTTTAAAACCCCAACCCATTAAAAAATAGAAAATTCTGAGTTTTGGAACTGATATATTTATTGACCCTTTTAACAAAATCCACCTTTTATTTGTTTTGCTAAATCATGTCGTTTATGGGATATTTTCTGTATCACATTTGACACGGTGGGTGTCTTTGCAACTTTTTGTTAACATTAATGTTCATTCTATACAAAAAAATTTGTTCATAACATTTTACAGTTATGGAACATGTTTTTTTAAAAAAAATCCACATAACACTTTTCACAGCCTTTTCATTTCACATTGTGGTAGGCAGAAAAACAATTTATTTCATGTTCAGGCAAAAATGCACCTTACACTTCCCACAGTAGACGTGTGAAAAGTGATTGCCTGTGCAGTGCTTGCATCTCTGTCGGGTTTCCCATGTAGGAAAATGGTCCATCCCATCCTTTCTCACGTCAGGAGGTACATTGCAGCATGGCCTTTTACGGGGCGGTGTAGGAGTCGCCTCAGGGGAGGATAGTGTCCTACCACACTTAGCTTTTCGGAATCAGAAAAGCTTTATTTGTCCCAGGAGGGGGAAATTAGAGTTTCAGTACACACAATTCAGAGATCAGATATACATGGGCAAGACACATGACAAGAATTGGTGACTGTGGTCATTCGCAACCCGGGTCGCGCTACCTTAATAGAGAGAAAAAAGATAACGTGAGGAATGGATTCGGGAGGAGGGGAATAAATGGCACTTCATAGCTACTCTCCCCCCAGGAGGGCAGCTTTGCTCTGCGAAAAAAACACCTCAACAGATAGCAACAGATAACACAACACAACATCACAATAGGAAGCAGGGGGGGGGGGGGGGCGGGGGGGGGGGGGGGCTGGGATCCTGTTCCCCCACCGAGAGCAGCCATGTACAGCACTCAACCACTGTAGCCACAGGTGGGAGGGAGCTCTCGGGAGGAGCGCAGAGCACATTTGACTCCTGCAGGTTGATGACCTCGCCAGGCTGAAATCCACCAATCTGAAGGGGGGGGGGGGGTCGGGGTTTCACAGCATCTGTCTGCATTCCTTCCTTCGTGGGGGTTTGTTGTTAGCATCTAGAAGGCTGCCAGGGCGTCAGATTCGTATAGCAAGACTTTGTTTGGGTCAGGCTGAGATAATTTTCCTCTCTGCCTTCAGTCTGTAACTGATCATTCAAGTCTTCCAGTGAAGCCAATTTTTTTTTTAAACATCTCCACACTGCCCGGTGACCCTCTCCGAGATGACGTCCATTTTGCGCACTAATACCGGTATCGCAGCTAGGACATTGTCCAGCTTGCGATTCACCTCGAGTAACGTCCCAGTCTGTGAGGTCTCCACACGGACGGTGCTCTCCGTGGGCGCGGGTCACCCTCCAATCGCTCCCGTCTTCCCCAATTTCCAGAAAACCAGATATCCTCCCACTCCAATCAGAAGAAATCCAGTGATCATTAGGCCAAACATCCACACGTCTTTGACGTCCTCAATGGACAGCTTGGAGAGGCATACGATCTTCCACTCTTTCCAGGAATCCATCATGTATACCACCGCATGTGTCCCTTGCGGGCAAGTGGGAGCACCCTACTCCGTTCTCATTGTTGAAAAAATCTTATCGCGTTGAACGACCATTTTATCAAATCCATTTCTAAATAGGGTTCTCAAAAGAAATGCAGAGAAGCGCTCTGTGGGCAGACAGGACAAAGAGCCTTGGGAGAAAAAAAAAAGATAAGGGAGCAGAAAGAAGCGCCTGTTCTCTGCGAGTGCCAGAAGAAGTACTGCGCTTGTGAGAGAAGTAGCAACCAAAGCCTCAAACCTTCGCAAAGCCATGGGTTACTTCTGGGGCTCAAGCTTTTTCTGGTGTCTTCTGTAGAAGTTCCATGTGTTGACGACTACCACTGTAACAGTGTGCCACCAGATAATCATGTACCATCTTCGGGATCTGAAGCTGAACTTGTAAAGTGCGGACAGCATATCAAGAAGATCATCATCATCATCATTTCTCTTTGTGCCAGGAGGCACATAAGGCAAGGACATCATTTTTCCACTGGGATCGATTTCCAGCTGCACTTCTTGTTGAGTTCCATGAACACCAGCCTGCTCTGTTTCTCTCTGCCTCAGCCACTTGCCGCCAAGTTGTTTTAGGTCGGCCTCTTTTCCTTCGACCTTCAGGCACCCAACCTAGAGCCACAGCGCAGTCGCTCGTCTCCTCCTTTCGCAGCACATGGCCGATCCAGTTCCATCTCCTCCTCCTCACCTCATCGCTGATCCTCTCTGTCTGTGCCATCTCTAGCACTGTCTTGTTGGAAACATGCTGTTGCCACCGGATCTTAAAGATCCTCCTTAGGCACTTCGTTTGGAAGGCGTCGAGTTTCTTTTCTTCTCCCTTTGTCAGTTTCCATGTCTCACATCCATATAGTAGCACTGACAGTACGAGGCTTTTGAACAGAGAAGTCTTTGTCTTTTTGCTGATGTCACTGGCCATCCAGATGTTTGAAAGCTGTTTGTGCCTTACACTTGCCAAGCCGACCCTCCTCTTGATATCCGCTGTGCCTCCACCATCTTTAGTGACACTTGCCCCCAGGTATGTGAAGCTCTCCACCTCCTCCACTTCTCTTTCTCCCACTTTCAGCTTATCTTCCCTCTTACTGTTCACCTTCATGATCCTACACTTTCCAGCATTCAGCCTCAGTCCAACTTTAGCTGCATACTTCTCCAGCCTAGTTGTTTTGTGTTGAAGATGTGCCATTATTGAGAACAGTAGGGCAATGTCATCTGCATAGTCTAGGTCCTCCAGCATGGTCACGAAGTTCCATCAAGAAGATCAACACCTCCCATAAACATGTTGTAAGTTTCAACAATCGCTGGCCTGGGAACCATTATGTGAGTTTTGGACTTGCGATCCCAGCGTTTCACATTCCCCTCAGGTTCAATGTCCTCAGGTTCAATGCCAACAAAAGAGGAAATCAGGTTGACTTGTTTGTTGTCATACCATCTTACAATGATCTTGTCCTGGTCCACTCTAAAATCCACTGAACCTCTTCCCTTTTTCATCAGTTCTTTATCATCCATCATGTTACAGTCTTTCACCCTGTTCATCCAGATCGTACCGATGAAATGGATTCCTCACTCTTTTAGGCACTGCACCAGGGGAACTGATGAAAAGTAGTTGTCTGCAAAGACCTTGTGATTTTTTTCCTGCTGGAAGTGTTGATGTCATTTTCAGCACAACTTCTCCTGTTACACCAACTTCAGACTTTTCTTTCTCTGGATTTTCTGCACCTTGAAAAAAATCAAAGTCGTAAAGAAAGCCACTTTGTCCAGCAAGTCCCACGTGAGGGATCATGCCAAATGAGTGGAGGAACACAGGCAATTTCCAAAACGCTTTAATTTCCTTTTTGTTTTAAAATATCCTCTCAAAAACAGTTCGAGCTCATAAAAGAGGTCAAGCAAACAAACTGAAACTCAATAGACTTTTAACTTAACATACTGACTGACTGAAACCATAACCGACCTAACAAACAAAGACACACAAGGGTATATGTACACACTGGCTGATCAGACCATATGAACAATAGGGATTACTAGACAAACATTTACTAACTAAAACTAAAACCACAAACCAGTACAGTCAGATTGTTAATAAACCTCAACACCCTAACCCATAAACTTAACTATTTAACTTCAAACTTAAATTAACTAACATGTGACAAAATAATAAACTAAAGGAAATCCTTCAGCCCCCTCTCCAGGGAGCTATTGGTTTGGCCCCATCAGCTCCTCCTGTATTTAGCTGACAGAACCCCTTCAACCCTGTTTGCCTGTCCCATCTCAGGAAGCAGGAAGTGGAGAACCTCTCAGCACCGGTAAGAGAAAACAAATCAACTTAAATTGAACAAAATGAAAGGCATAAAATACAGCAGTTAACTAAATGTGCGCGCTTACAATTAGAACTAATGCATTTAAGCCATCTAAACAATAAATCCCAAGAAATATAAACATACAAACTGCAATCATAAAAGTGCAAGAGTGTACTAACGTTCACCGTTGTGTTGACATGGATGTGGCCATCACATCCCCACATCTTGAATCCCCATTTGTGAGGTTTTTCAGGCATGTAGACACGCAGATTAGCCTTTCCCTTGAAGGACACCATAATTTCATCAACAGCATGGCATTCTTCAGGAGGTATACAGAGAAATAGTTCTTGCAGTTTTTGTAACCATGGCCTGAGCTTCCACACTTTATCTTTCTTTGCACCATCAGAGACAGTGAGGTTGTCCTGAAAATGAATGAGCATCAGCGATTTCGAGACATCGCATTGCAAACCGCAGGGAACTTTGTCTCCATCTCCCAGTAGGCTCTCACACTGGTCATCTGTACTAGCCCCATATGCAGATATGCCTACCTGCTCTATCCCTTTGGCACTTGTGTTTACTGACCTGCCCTGTTGTTGCACATTTTACAAATTTGTTTGTTTGGCAATTTCTTCGGTGACAAACTGTTTGAAATACATGTATGGTGTCCAGTCACACCTGTCCTCTGTGCCTGCAGCTGCACATCCAAGAAAATCGACAGATGGAGCTTGATATTGTATTTTTTCCCCATCTATACTCTCTCCTTTTTGCATCGCCCTTCACTGACTCCTTTCTGCTTGTGTCCTGTGTTGTTGGAACCTCAACATCTGTGCTTGTCCTGGCTACACTTTCCTCTTTATCGTCTTCCTTATCAGAGCTATTTGAACTTTCATGCATGTCCTGTGGAGTCCATTCTTCATCCTCATCCTCATCCTCATCTTCTGCCAACTGCTCTATGTTATTTGTATTACCATCCTTTGTCATGTTGATATTTTCAATGTACTTTCTCTCTTCTCCCTCAAGACTTTTTGACATCTAAAATAGACGCATGGGTCAATATAGAAGTATTTCAGAGGGACTGTTATTGTGGAAATACTCAATATATATTTCAGTGATTAGATTCATTGAGTCATCAAAATAATGTGTAATTGTATTTTAGTAAATATTATGTAGATAAAATTATAAAAATGTCAATTCAGGGAAAAAGCATGTTTTATACCAGCAGTATCAAATTTGACATAATTTAACACAATTTATTGGGAATATAATGAATGAGTTACTTAACAAAAATGCACTTTTTCCACATTTAAATAAAATTACTTAGAATTCTGATGTTGTTCTTACTGTAACTTCTCAAAAATTAGCAATGATTATCCTGAAAAATGCTAATGGATCATTTACCGAGAGCAGCCATGTTGGAAATGACCAAAACTAAACTTTAGCTGCCTGTAATGACTTATTTACCCACCAGGGGGGCAGGATATATGTATCAGATTATGTACAACAGGCAGGGTCTCATTTATAAAACATTGGGTAGAATCATTACTAAAAACTACTCAAGCTCAGCAAAAAATATGTACTTACACCAAGTAGGTTTGTGACCTATTGTCACGCTGCGAGAGCAGGAGGTTTGGACCCAAGATGCAGATCACCACAAAACTCAGGGCAGGAGAGGTTGTATAAAATAAAAAAAATCCTTTTATTAGGATGATGAAAACCTCACAAACAGAACAGCAGGACTCTAAGCCAAAAAGACAAAAACAAAAGCTCATTCATGAGCCAGGATCTATAGTTCTATAGAGGACAAAGCAACGCTGACACAAGACAATGGACCGACAAACACTGGAGACACAGACAGGGTTATAGACACAGGGCTGGGTGATAGGAGACGGGGAGCAGGTGCGTGAGGAATTGGGCACAGGTGAAACTAATGAACGGAGGGAAGAAGCAGAAATAAGCAGGGGAGAAAACCATATCTAAATCCTAAACCAAAGCAAAATAACCTGAACTTTAAACACTGTAGAAACGAAGACACTGGAAACTAATAAGTAAATGAATGATTTGAAGTGGGGAAGGAAACACACACACTAAAGGAGACTAAAGAATGAAATCATAAACCAATAGAAAACTACAGTGGAGAGACTGGGAGAACATGAGGAAAACCTGGAGGGAGCTGGGGAACAAAAAGGGCTGGGGACTACAAGGACACAGAACCTGACACCTATAAAACATGGAGTACGCACAGCTTCACTCAATCTCCGCTTTATAAAGCAGAAACTATCTAGAAAGGTTCTCAGCTGTTTTTTGATCACATCCCACCCTCAAAATGCCCACTTTCTGCCATAAATGGTCAATGCAAACTGCCTTGTGGATCTCATGCATACGCAAGCCGGCTCCTTGCAGCGCTCCACCATTAACGATGGCGACCGCAGATCAAGGAAGCGCAATTTCACTGAAGCAGAAATTAAGGTACTTGTGGGTGAGGTGGAAAAATGAAAGGAAGTAATTTTGCAAAACAAATAAGAGAAAATCCACGGAGTGGCACGACGTTACTGAAGCCGTCAATGCTGAGTTCTTCAGAGAGATCTGTTGCGGATATAAAAAAAATGGCCCAATAGGGATTTGATCTCCAGACTCCCAGATAACAGTCACCCACGCTAACCAGTCAGCCAAAGGGAGATCTCCCTTACCCAAGTAGCCAGGGCACATGATCAATCGGGTCACAGTGACAGGACACACACACTGTCACAGACGCATGACATTCTGTCTCAATCTGCCTCCTGCTGGCATTCCGTATTCTGCGCTTCAGGGTGTGTGTGTGTGTGTGTGTGTGTGTGTGTGTGTGTGTGTGTGTGTGTGTGTGTGTGTGTGTGTGTGTGTGTGTGTGTGTGTGTGTGTGTGTTAGGGTGACCATATTTCCAACAGCATCGGTAATGTGCACAGTTTATTAAGGATGCTTGTTTCAGCTGTGAGATTAGACGATAGGATCAATGAAACAAACGTTGTCACACACTCCATGGAACTTTCAGAGAATCCACAAATAGTGGTTTTGGAATGGTTTTGTTACTTTTTCAAGTTTAGAAAAGAAGCAGATGACACAGCATGTCTGATCATTTTGTTTTTCATCTGATAATATTAGAACGTGTCAGTAATGTCGCAGGTTTTTTTTTTTTTTTACAAACACTGTATAACTAATACTTCTGGACAGGGTATGGATTACACAGAGGCTTCTGGGGAGTCCAGTTATGGGGGTGGGGTGTGTTGTGTTTTGCCTTGGCCCCCAATATATCTTGAAACGGCCCTGCGGTGTGTGACTGAGTTTTGAAGGTGATCTGAACTGTATCAGATGTATAAATATTACATGTGCATAACTTATTGTTTTATACAGGTAAAAACATGTAGTGAAGATAAATCTACCAACATTTTACTTTTCAACACTTTGATTTGTTTTCTTGTTTTTATTTAACTATTTTCCTGCCCTGTCTGCATCTCCTCTAAATTCTCCAGAAAAACTGCTGCCTGGATTCTTACTTTTTCACCTCATCAGCTACTTTTGAGCAGATCAAAGGGATCTCCTGACCGCAAAGCGGAGAGTGCGTTTCGATGCTGCGTCAGTGAGGTGAAATCACCGCAGTGCAGGTGATGAGCTCCGCAGTAGCAGAGCGCTTCAGGCACAATAGAAAGTAGAGAATATGGGCAGACATGAGCCATCGTGTGTTAATTATAGTTATTTGGTTGCGCCGCTTTGAGAATGGACCGTGTGCTGGACGCAGCTGCATGGAGCGCACCAACGATCAGCGCTCTGCTGCTCTCTGTGCTCTCCGCTGAGTCCATATAAATGATGTAATATAGAAACCTTTTTTCCAGCTCTCCTCGGATGTGTAGGATATCCAGCTCCCCCATAATTCGATCCCTGCTCCTGGATGAAAAACCAGGCATTTTCAACCCCCCCCCCCCCCCCCCCCCCCCCCGACAAACACAAGCACACACCCCGGACAGAGAGTGAAAAATGGACATGTCCAGAGAAAAGAGGATGTATGTTCTTGGTCTGTGTGTGCATAAAGCGGTACAAATGGTAATGCTGCTGGAATTAATTTTATCCTTCTCAATAACCAACACATTCTCACACCCTAAGCGTTGAAAAATTACGCCGTGTGACCAAGCGTATGCTGGGAGCCCCTGTGTGTCGGGAGGCGACGCGCTGTGCCAGGGCGTCATTTTTCGATGCTTAGGCTGTGAGAATGTGTTGCTGCAGGTGCTCTCCATGTCCAAAATGTGCGTAAGCCAGGTCCTTATTCAACTTAAAGCTGCACACATTTTTCCACCTTGCTTTTTTTTTATAAATCCCAAAGTTTTACGCAGTTTTACGGCCCAGTTTGTGCATAAGCAAGCTTTATAAATGAGGCCCCAAGTTTTTAAGGAAAGTGTTAAAGAGCAAGTCACCCCCAAATCAACAATTTTTTTCTGATAAACTCTATAAATGCGTGTCTAATCGTGCTGCAGACATGTGTAGACAATAGTTTTGTACTTTAGTGCATTTTAGTTAAAAATTTAATTTTCTGCCTGAAACCGGCAGTGTTGTGCCGTTGTCAGGTAAAAACTCTTCACTGCATTTGAATTTAAATCTGCCACCGCTATTGGCTAAGAGGTATGCTATGATGTAAACTGGTACATTATGATGTCACAATGTCGTGAGTGTGTGTATTTGTTAGTGGCTCCACCCTCTCGGTCTGCTAGGCAACAGCATTTGTTGCATTTTTCAAACATGAAGTGGGAGTGAAGTACGCTTCTTGTAAGGGGTGACTTGCTCTTTAATCATGTTGATGAGATACAGGTCTCAAAATCTCATGTAACAAATATGATACAAATGGCATTATAGGGTTTTTAAGGAATCTCCTACCATCTTTACCCAGATGACATCCAGCTGTACATCTCTTTTAAGCCCCATAAGATTGAGACTGAGATCCTCATCGGTGCCCCAGACAAGTTGGTTACCAAAGTCAGAGACTCTCTTGGTCAGCTTGCTTCTCACACCAAACCCTCTGTCAGGAATCTTGGCGTGACCTTTGACCCAGCTCTCACCCTGGATTCTCATGTCAGTTCTCTTGTTCGCTCTTCCTTCTTCCATCTCAGGAACATGGCTAAGCTGAGTCCCATTCTGTCTCGCTCTGAACTTGAGACAGTTCTCCACACCTTCATCTTCTCACGCTTAGACTACTGCAACTCTCTTTTCACGTGTCTGAGCAGAACCTCCCTGAACCGTCTACAGGTGGTTCAGAATGCCTGTGCTCGGCTTCTGAACAAGTCCTCCAGACACACCCACATCACCCCGCTTCTCCTCCAGCTTCACTGGCTGCCAGTCAACTTCAGGGTTCATTTCAAGATCCTGGTTCCGGGGCCTCATTCATTATCAAGCTTGCTTACGCACAAAACGGGGTCAGAAAACTGCGTAAGCAACTTTCCCCGCAAACTTTGGGATTTATGAAAGAAAACTTAGTGGAAAAATGTACGCAACTTTAAGTTGACTAAGGACCTTGCTTACTCACATTTTGGACATGGAGAGCACCTGCAGTGCTGCTGCTGAGAAGGATAAAATTATGAAATCCTGCAGCATTATCACTTGTACTGCTTCATTTTCACACAGAACAAGACTCTCCCACACACGTGCGTGCACAGACACACACACACACACAACCTGAAGCGCAGAATAAGGAATGCAGAATATCAGCAGGGGGGCAGATTAAGACAAAATGTCATGCGTCTGTGACCGTGTGTGTGTCCTGTCACTGTGACCCAACTAATCATGTGCCCTTGCAACAAGGGAGATCTCCGTTTGGGTGACTGGTTAGTGTGTGTGACTTTCACCTGTGAGTCTGGAAATCGAATCCCGATTGAACTGTTTTTTTATATCCGCCACAAATCTCTCTGTAGAATTCACAGCATTGACGGCTTCAGCAACACTGTGCCATTCCGTGGATTTTCTCTTATTTGTTTTGCAAAAGCACTTCCTTTCATTTCTCCACCTCACCCACAAGTTCCTCAATTTCTGCTTCTGTGAAATAGCGCTTCCTTGATCTGCCTTGATCTATGGTCGCCATCGTCATTGGCGGAGCGCTGCAACAGCCGGCTTATGTATATGCATGATATCCACAAGGCACTTTGCATTGACTGTTTATGGCAGTAAGTGGGCGTGGTGAGGGCTGACATGGTTTGGGGGATACATCTAACCCAAGACATGCAGAATCACAACAACTCACAGAATGATGGTAAAAAATTATATTTATTTAAAAACGGGAACAGAAGGCGCACTGGTAAGTCCAGTGGGGATCAAGAAACGGGAGCACAGCATCTGAGGAGGGGAGAGCAGATACAGGTGAGTCCAGGGAGGTAAGTCTTAACTTGGTGGGTGCAGAGAAAAGACTTACTGGGAGTTGGGGAAGCGCAGGAATGAGGGAGGGCAGGTAGAGAGCCGGGGTATATCAAAGTGAGGGGTCCAGGAGAGGGAGCGTGAGGAGAGCAGGAGAGCGGGTCGGTTAGGAGGAATGGAGAACAGTTCAGAGCTGCGTCCAGAAGTCCTATGAGGCACAGGTGAGTAATCCTGAGGGGCCACTGAAACCAGAGACGTTCCAGAAACCAAGCTGTAGTAATCATCCGGCGTCGAGGTGTGTTCTCCATCCTCCTTATGTAGTCGGGCTCACTGATTGCAAACCAAGTGCAGCTGGGAACCTCCCTCTCCTGCAACACTCAGCTCAAAGGTGGAATGTTGAGAGGAGTACTCACCCCGGCTCATGACAAGGGCGGGATGTGACTAAAAAGCAGCTGAGAACCTTTCTAGATAGCTTCTGATTTATGAAGCAGAGATTGCGTGCAGCACTGCGTACTCCATGTTTGATAGATCACAAACCTACTTGGCGTAAGTACTTTTTTTTGCTGAGCTTAAGTACGGTTTTAGTAAGGATTCTACGCAATGTTTGATAAAGGAGGCCCCTGGTCTATAGGGCCTCACATGGTCTGTGACAAATCAGGAAATGTATTTTGTCCTCATGGGCTCCTGTAGAAGGAAACATGGCATCTAATATGTCATCGCCCAGAGACTTAGACCTGCTCCCATGAATTTTACACCTGATTTTTATGATTATATGTTACAAAGCCGCCAATATTTTTCAACAACTGGGAATCATTTAATTCATTTTCAACAACATTTGGATGGATATTTCCAGAAATCAATGGTGAAAACTACACATTGTCTCTTTAATTGTTATTTTACACATTTATCTCTTCACTTGTTGCCAGTGATGAAAGGGAGTCTGATGTGCTTGTTATTTTTGCCAAAGTTTGCACTCCCCGGGGCTTTTTGACCCTAACGGGCTTAAGGTCTTACTCCAACACAAAAATACAGCTTGCTTGCAACAATTTAGGTATCTACTGTCCCCCATCGCCAGGAAAAATACACACTGTCACATTAATCTTTTTTATTGTCATATTTGGTTTTTGTTCTCGTGAAGTTCACGGGACTTTTTTTTTGAGAGGTGCTGAATAAAAGACTGTTTCTTGTTCTACTTCTTCTACGTGGGTGCAGAGGGTCAGATTTATGCAACTTGTGTGCAGCTAGATTGGTTTTAGGCGCAAGCATCATTTTTGATATTTGACCACTAATCAGATATAAAATTTCTGTCATGATTTTCTGTTTACTAGACAAGGCAGCTTTATTTTCTTTAGCACATTTCATACACAGAGGCAATTCAGTGTGCTTTCTATTCGTAAGAATAGCACGGACATTGAAATAACATGACAACACAATTAAAATATACAACAAATTTCAAATTAAGAATCAGAAAAAAATAAAGGTAAAGGGTGAGCAGTTACAGTGAAGAAGGCGCAACATAAGAAACATTGATTCAAAGGCTAATGCATGCATGAAAGTTTTTACTTTTGCTTTAGAAGTTACTGGAGATGGGTCACATTAGATGTCACGAGGAAGCTGATTGCAGCTCTGTGCAGCATAGTATCTAAATACAGCTACTACTCTTCTCTTAGTTCTGGGAAATCTACTGAAACACATAAAAAAAAGCACTCCAATCAGGATTGTTTTCATTTCAATGTTAAAACCAAAAGAAAAAATTTGATGCTTTCACCCTTTTGGTGTTTGACTGCCTGTGTGCTCCTCAGAAAGGATGAGAGGGACCGACCAAGTTCTTCTTTTCAGTTCATGACTGCATCCTTGAAATCAACACAGTTTGAGCAGTTTAGTCCTGCGTGATTAGAAAACGTTGAGTTACTAGAAATGAATTAACGTTTTCACCTTGGAGATTCAAAGCTCATTTGTAGATTCTCCTTAAAATGAAAGCCAGACTTTAGGTAGGTTGATTTATAAAGTAAATTCATACAAAGAGGGAATTTAATGTGCTTTTCAGGTAACTCTAGCCCTACCAACCCCCCCCCCCCCCCCCCCCCCCCCCCGAAAAAGCTAAAAAAAAAAAGCTATAAATTTTTAAGTGAAAATAGACCACCATCAGCACACATATTTATTTCAGCTTTTCTCTGCCTTTTCCTGATGTAAAAACACTTTATCTGCTCTTCTTTTCCACCTCAGTCCCGCTCCTGGAAGACCTACTTGACCATGATGCACTGGTCACTTCGGCGGCAGAGCTCCTGGGTCCAGCTGGCTGGACATCAAGGCATGTGTGACTCAGATCACTATGACACTCACCACTCACACTCGCTCACACTTAGAGCCACACCATTTAGAGCCAGAACACGCATGTTTTTGGTCTGTGAGAGGAAACCGGAATATCCAGAGGTATCCCACACATGCATGAGGAAAATATGCTGATTCTACACAGCTGGGATTCAAACCTGCAACCTTCTTCCTGCAGGATAGCAGTGGTACCAATTGTGCCACCGTGCAACTTTTAACACACAGAAAAACAAATAAGGCCCATACTCATCTGTGCTGCTGCTGCTCAACAGATAATGCTCACATCAATGCCCTGCTGCTCTGAGTGGTTAAAACAGCCTCATTCAGTGTCACGTGGGAAGTGTCTAAAATCTTCAATACTTTTAATATTTTCCTTTTTTTTTTTTTGTCCTCTTGCTGCTCATTGGCATCATCAGGTAACTTCCAGGTGAGTAAAGTGGGGGAGGTGCTGAAACTGCACAGCAAGCCCGAGGCAAAGTGTCTGGAACGCCTGATGAGAGACACCTTGAGGCCGTTTGTCCCGCAGTACCACGGTCTGGTCACCAGAGGGGAGCACTGCTACATCCGCCTGGAGGACCTGCTCCATGGCCTGAGGAGGCCTGTTATCATGGACTGTAAGATGGGAGTCAGGTAGGCATCTGTATAGATCATTCAACGTCACAATGGACTTTCACATCAAAATATCAAATTAAAAAGTAATTTGTAGGCTGCAGCAAAAGATGGTGTTAAATTTGTGGTTTTAATCATTTACTCTCCATGAAAATCATTTGTTGTTTACGTGGGAATGAAATTTCTCAGGAACACCTCCACTGACCAAACGTCACCTGTATTTGCCCATTTTGTGATGTTAATTTTGAATTTGTCTTTGTTTCTCAAATTTGATGGCTCACTCTTGGTATTTTAAACAGCAATGTTCTTCTTGCATGCCAGTGCAAACCTTCTCACGCTGATGTAAACTATTATCAGGACATTCCAGGAGGAGGAACTGATCAAAGCCCGGACCAAACCCACCCCGAGGAGCGACTTGTACCACAAGATGGTGAAATTAGACTCGTTAGCTCCAACAGAGGAGGAACATACACAGCAAGGGGTGACCAAATGGCGCTACCTCCAGTGGAGAGACACGACCAGCTCCACGTCTGCTCTGGGCATCAGGATAGAAGGCATCATGGTAGGAGAGGAGGCCATATGGGTTACAGCGCCACCCTGTAGCTGTCTAATCTCTGTTTCCTGTCCCACAGATGGAGGACGGAAACGTCCAGCGGGATTTCAGAAAAATCCTGACTTTAACTCAGGTCACAGAAGCATTACTGTACTTCACCAGGAGTCAGCTGGTCACACTGGTTAGTTCTGCTTCTCATGGAAACACCAGTCACATCAAAGCTTTATTAATCCTGACAAACACAAAAACACAGCCAACTGTCAGCGCTGACCTTTAGACCTCAGGGTTACAGATGGCTGAAGTACAAAAACAATATTTGTTTTAAAGGGTTTTTTATGTTGTTCCTTTCTTGGTAAAAATCACAAGCACAGTCAAAATTTAGAATAAATAAAATAACAAATGAAATTTTAAGAGTAAAATAATAATAATAAACATTATAACATATTTAACATGTAACCTTTTGACCAGTCTTCTGCATTTTGAAATAAAGATTTTAAAGGACGTTTTGTAGATAAACCTTTTAAGCCAAACATAAACCACTACTGTGAAAGGAGCCTCGTCTGTTAATCAGCTTAGTACAGGTGTGTCCGAAGCACGGCCCTCGGAGTGATTTTGCGCGGCCCTCACCAGCGTTTTTAGAGTTGTGGAATTAAATCTCTCCAGGAGGCCGTTGATATAAATTCATATATGTTAACCCTCTCAAGCTCAAAATAAGTATTGATAAAAGGATAAACAACTAAGTCCTTCAGGGGAACTTCTAAGTTAAAAAATGCTCATGAAACACGTATGTGGAGTAACCAGGTAGGTAGGTTTCAACTGTTGCAAATCTGCAACGCCTGCCTCGAGTCCAGAGGGTTGATATTTTATGTTCAAATTTTTACTAATCTATTTTAGGCCGTTTTTGGGCAGAACAAATGAAAAAAAATCTAAAATAATGTTTGCATTCCTAAAAAAAAATTGTGGCCCATGAGGAGTTTTAAACTTCATGATTTTGGCCCTCGTCTTGAAAAGTTTGGACATCCCTGGCTTAGTATGTTTGATACTTTGAAAATTACAATAATGGTCCATCTATTATTTTTATTTCCATCCGTAATCTGCACCGCTTAATCCTCAGTAGGGTCACTGGTGTCTAACTCCAGCAGCCATCAGGCGAGAGGCTGAGGGACACTCTGGGCAGGTCTCCAGTCCATCACAAGCACTCACAGCAAAAAACAACCAGTCACACACTCACTCACACCTAGGGACAATTTAATCTCCAATAAGCTTGACATGCATCTTTTAACTCTGTGGGAGGAAATCAGAGAACACGCACACACACGCATGGAGGTGACATGGCAGAGCAGTTTAGTACCTGCCCCATTACCTGAGGGTTGCAGGTTCAAGTCCAGCTCAGTCTGTCACAGTCACTGTGTCCTTGTCCAAGACATTTCCCCCACCCTGCCTGCTGGTGGTGGGTGGAGGGACCAGTGGCGTCTGTTTACGGCAGCCTCACCTAGTGTGTCTCAGGGCAGCTGTGGCTATGATGTAACTCATCACCACCAGGGTGTGATTGTGTTAATGACTAGTTGTGTTGTAAAGTGCCTTGGGGGTGATAGAGCCCTAGAAGGTGCTGCATAAATACAGGCAATTTATTATTTATAACCTTTTACTCTCCAAATATATTGTATCATATTATATTATATTATATTATATTATATTATATTATATTATATTATATTATATTGTATTGTATTGTATTGTATTGTATTGTATTATAAGGCCAAAGTTTGTGTATTTTCAGAGAGCATACCACTCCAGACTACTGGATCTGAAAGACGCACTGAGGGACTCATCGTTTTTCAGGACCCATGAGGTTGGTTAATAGATCATCTTAAAACCGAACACTCGCATCTCATTTAGATTTAGCTCATCCCATTGCCAATAATCTGTTTATCACTGATCAGGTGATCGGTAGCTCGCTTCTCTTTGTCCACGACCACAACAAGGCCAGCGTGTGGATGATCGACTTTGGGAAGACCACTCCTCTGCCCGACGCGTGGGAACTCCAACACACCGTCCCGTGGACTGAGGGCAGCAGGGAGGACGGCTACCTGATGGGCCTGACCTCCCTCATCGCCTCTCTAAGTCAGGCCATCAGCATGGCCTCTGGGCAGCAGGAGGACAGCTGTGTGGAGGAACAGTGTGATCCATGAAGATCTCTGTGTCTGTGACACAAAATAAACTGAGTTTCAGGTCAAGGCCAAAAAACCGTCAACTGTTGAGACACAAAAGGAGGATTTGTTGATCTGCCTTCAGAGACCGAATAGACTTCAGTGAAACTAAAACTCAGGGAGGATGTTAAGTGCAAGCCTGCTTTGTTTACCGTACATCTGGTATGTACGTATGTGAAAAATGTTTTTATTACCAGAAAGACTCATGAAATTTTTTGAGGGTTTTGTTGTCTTTATTAAAATTTTCATCACAAAAACATTGTTTTGTACTAGAATAATTCCTGCTCTCATTCGCACAACTGGTTGGAAACCTCGGGCTCTCCATGATTTAAATCAGCATGCATTAAAAAGGTTTTTTATTTAAGGAAACTGATCAGTAAATCAACTCATAAAAACCATGAGTTGTTTTTACAATATTTTTTAGTATTATGTGTATTTAACATAGTAGGTGGGTTTTTATTGTTGTTTTTCTTTATTTTTTCTTGCGTTTCTACGGCCCCGCCACGGTCTTCCTATTAGTACGTTTCCTATTACAGTAACTGTCAGACATCTAGACCGTGATAAAAAGTTAGAGGGAGAAGACAAACTGAGGAAACCCTTTATGATTTTGTAATTAACACATACATCACACCTTATTTCTGATGATTTATCACACGTTGAACCCCCACATTTTACTGATTGTTGTGAAAATGTTCTAAAATATCAGGATGTTCAGAAAAAGCTTACTAACTGCAGCTTCCAAGAGTTGGAAAGTAAGCCAATAAAATGGCCAAAGGGCACCTATATAGAGCCCAGAAAAAGATGAATGCTGTCTCAAAAATAGACTTCCTAAAGGATACTGGCAAGTGTCTTTAACTCCAGCTGCTTCAGAAATCTCTGCTTTTGTAACTCCAGACACGTTTCTCCAATATACAGTCATGCCGTTTGGAATGCAAAATGCTCCAGCAACTTTCCAACGCCTAATGAATGCAGTAACAGCTGGTTTGGGAAACTGTAGTACACATCTAGATGACATAGTTGTTCATACCTCATCTTGGGAAGATCACAAGGACTGGAGTTTGTAAAAGCTACCGTCACTTATTTAGGTAACGTTGTAGTACATGGTTATGTATGATGTTATCTGTTTAAGTAGAGGTTCCTGTTGCAAGCCAGTTTACCGGGCTGGCTCCACTCCTCTAGATGCTATTCAAATCTCAGGGTTTGGCTTGTAATCGGTGTAGAGAGCGTGGCATCAGTGACCAACAAACACCCTTACTTTGTAGAGAGTTGATTAGCAATCACCAAATTACCCAGGGCTTCTAATTTTGACCAAAATTCGTTTAAGCAGACACAAAGGAGGAGCAAACACCTACACACACCCCCAGTCCATGAAGCTTATGTACACTTCAGGTTAAGACTCTTGCCAGCTGTTCCTTTTATACTGAGGAGACAACTGACTTTACCTGTAGCCTAGGATGGAGGAAACAACTTATATCAGTAACACCTTGGGATGGAATTTACAACCAGCATCTCACCTTTGCTTGGTTACCGACAGGAGGAGACCCCACTCGTAAATCCTTTTTCGTTCCTCAAATCCGAGGAACTAGGTTTTATTTCACACAGATGAAAAAAGAATAATAATCCAAACGAAACCCCGACACAGCGGGTTAAAAAGTGAAACAACTCTTTGCCAATAAACAGAGTTATAGCAAAGTTGAGCTGAATAAGCTCTCCAAAAATGACACTAGGTCAGATTATCACAGACAAAAAGCTCAAAGCAAAAGCTTCTTTCTTTCCATCTCTCTACCTCACAAACTCTTCCTATCAAAGGCAATCCTAAAAACTCTCAAAAGCCTTTCTCCAAAAAGCTCAGTCCATGACTGACTGACTCTCACTCATCCCATCAAGCTCTCTCTCTTGAACAGACCCAGTATCTTCCTTTTATTCACCCTGTCCTCCTCCCCTCTGCCTTCTTCAGGGGTGCATCTCCATGGCAACATGGCTTGTTTTAGCAATCTTCTCGATTTTACAAGTACATGGTCTGTTTATTAGCTCATGCACCTGGACTAACAAGACACAATTCTTGCCTCCCTCCCATCTCAAGATGTCAGAAAGGTTGCATCAAAAACCCTGAGACCGTACCAACTCATAAAATTTACGACCTCAGGGTGAAACAGCAAAGACACACACACACTTTTTAAACACAGGAAAATAGCTTAGAATTGATTTCACATAATGACAGACATAATCCAGACTTAATTCCATGCATTAAAAAGTCTGATAATACTCCATACAACAGTTCCATAACCTAAGACTCATAGAGAACTATGCTGATTCCTGGGATTTGTTGGGTGTTATCAGTGCTTTTGTCGAAACTTTTCTACTATAGCTTCCCCTCTAACTAATTTGTTAAGTCCCAATGGCTGTTTCTGTGGATTGATGTTGTCCAGGTTGCCTTTGAAAGCTGTAGGTTGTTGCTCAGCAGTGCTCCTATATTAAGAGCTCCAGGTCTGTCCAAGAGGGAGCCGTGCTCATCAGGAAGATGACGCCAGTTTGAACCATCCTATCACCTACTTTTCTAGAAAGTTTACAACATATCAAACAAACTATTCAACAATAGAAAAGGAGACGTTGGCTCTGCTCTTAGCACTGCAGCGTTTTGACATTTATGTTAGTTCTGGGAGAGGCTTCTTTCCAAAATGTTCAACCACAACCAACGGTTGGTGCGTTGAGCTCTATCCCTTCAAGAATATGAGCTTGATGTCGGGCATAAACGAGGTGTGGAAAACGTCATGGCGGGTTGTCTCTCCCGTTCCTTCACTGACGAGTGAAGAAATTTGCAGACCATGGTATGGTAAGGTGAAACTCTTGTCAGTTTGTGCACATCAACCAACAGTTTCTGTGTTTTTACACCTTTTGTATGCTTTGTAGTGACGTCCCCTTGTAGGGTTAAGAGGCTTTTCCTCTTTGGGGTATGTCCTGTTTGTTATTCTCTGTAGTGTTGTGGCGTGGAGGTAAGCTTTGGTAGACCCCACTACCATCTCTGGATCACCCCAAGAGGTAAGGAGACGGGCTTCATCAATGGGTCAACTCTCTATCTTAATGGTTTGTTTGTGCTTAATCTGCTCACCTGTAAACCACATGAAATCCAGGGTTTTAGTTATTTAGAAAACACCTGGGTAGTTAGCAGAGACTCACTGTTACCATCACAGTAAAAAGAAAAAACAAGGGGGTGACTAGAATAGTTGAATTTTGTTTATTAAGTAAAATATGTTAAGAAAGAAAGTCGTGTTGTGTTTGAATGTATGTGTTGACATTCTTTCTTGATTTCTTTTTTTTTTATGGGGAGGGTGTTATGAAACCCAGTAAATTGAGAGCCTTGCTTTCTTGCTCAGCTCTCTCTTCACCACGACAGGTCGGTTTAGCGTCCGCATCACTGCAGATGCTGCTCCAATCCACCTGTCGATCTACCGCGCCCTCCTTCCCTCATTCGTGAACAAGACCTCGAGATACTTAAACTCCTCCACTTGGTGGACGACCTCTCTCCTGACCCGGAGTTGGCAAAGTACCCTTTTCCGGTCATTAATTAAGTCTGTGGAGGAATTTCCCCATTTTTTCAACAGCTGTGGGGGAAATCTACTGAGTTTTCCGGTGTCAGGAGTTAAATTTGAAACGTGATCGTGTTTTTATTATTATTTATTGCTTCCATTCTGCTTCACCAGCTACTCTTTGAATTTTACTGCTGCCGGTTGTTTTGGATGTCTGCTAATGTCATTTCCTACTGTGTTACAACCAATCAGAGTGAGTTAACCGGAGGTTCCACTCAGCTACTCTACCGGGCGTTCAGAGTACCTACTCCAGAACAGGTACTCAGAAGATTCCTGAAAGCATCCCGAAAAACGGCCGTTCGGACGGCCCAGTCAGGTGGAGGCACACGCATGTCGGGAGGTTCCTGTAAATCTACCCTGAAGTTCTTGTAGTGGAAACATGCCTAATGTGTATTTTCCCTGGTAATATGGGGCGGTACATACCTAAATCATTGCAAACAATTGGTATTGTACTGTTCGAGTAAGACCTTACCAATGGATGGCCATTGGGGTAAAAAAAAATCCCTGGGAGTGCAACCTCCAGCAAAACGACATGAACATCAGACTCCCTTTCATCACCGGCAACGAGTGAAGAGGTAAATGTGTAAAACAACGTTTATGAATGGCAAAACATTTGTAACCATTTGTTTCAAATCAGTAAATGCAGTTTGTCCTCATGGGCTCCCGTATAAGAAAACATAGCATCTAATATGGCGTCACCCAGAGACTTAGACCCACTCCCGTTTATTTTAGTCCCAATTTGTACGGATATATTTTAATATTTTTCAACAACTGGGCATCATTTAATTCATTCTCAACAACATTTCAATGGCTGTAGGTTAATGGAAGAACTACACATTGTCACTCATTTGCTGCTGTGGCCCCCAGACTCTGGAACTCTCTCCCCCTGAGCCTGAGATCAGTGGACTCAGTGGTCTCCTTCAAAAAGCAGCTGAAGACTCACTTGTTCAAGCTGGCTTTTGTATGACCTCACCACTCTCTCTTTATTCTGCTCTCCCCACCTATTCCACCTTCCTCAGGATCCACTGATTTTTCCCTCTTTCCTATTCACTCTCTCTCTCTTTCTTAACATTTTTTCTTTTAAATCCCAATTGCCTATTTTTGCTCATTTTAAATATATTTTTAAACATTTTCTAAATGCTTTTTTATATTTTAACATTTTTTTTTGTTTTTGTGAAGCACCTCGTGATTTTTATCTTGAGAGGCGCTATAGAAATGATATTTTCTTCTTCTTCTTCTTCTTCTTCTTCTTCTTCTTCTCTCCAGACAACAGGGGGAACTCAGAGCTAGTCTGTTGTTCTCCCAGGCACAATAGCAGCTGCTTGTATACTCTTTTAAAGCCCCTTTTAGTCTCTCTGGTTTTGAAGTTTGGAGCCCAGATCCAGTCTGTTGATGGTTTAGAATTTAGATTTGGCCTGTTGTGCTCTTTTGTTTTTTGTTTGGCTTTAGCTAAGAGTAACCTTTAGTTATGTCCAGAGGACTTATTGTTTTGAGCTGTTTTGAGTAGTTGGTCCTTTAGATAGTTAACTGAGTTTTGAGCCGCTGCTCTATTTAGTTACTGCGGCTTCCTCCCACAGTCCAAAAACATGACTGTTAGGTTGATTGGTCTGTCTAAATTGTCCTTAGGCGTGAGTGTGTGTGTGCATGATTGTTAGTCCTGTGTTTCTCTGACTTGCCCTGCGATGGACCGGCACTTTGTCCAGGGTGTACCCCGCCATATTGCCCATTGACCGCTGGAGATAGGCACCAGAACCCCCATACCCCCCCCCCCACCCCACCCCCCCGCGACCCTACATGGACAAGCGGGTACAGACAATGGATGGATGGATGGATGGATGGATGGATGGATGTTCTATTTAGTGTTTGAAATATTAGTTTTGAATAGCTTTCCCTCCCTTATTATTAGTAAGGAGGTGCCCTGTGTTTAAAGTTTTCAATTAACCATCATAGTTCCTTTTTTATGGGACTCTTTTATTTAAAATATGAGTCATTGGTTGGTTCCCTTTCACCTTTTAATCCCGTGTTATTCCCTCCTGGACCTGCTAGACCAGATAGGGGTGTAACATAACCAAATGTGTTTCTAAAATCTTAAACTTCTGTCACAGATGTCTGCTGGACAACGAGTGGGATTTAAACAGAGCTGAACAGATATTCAGTTGAAGGTAATGCAAAATCAAATTTTCCTATTGCGATTTTCTTTACACAGATGAATATGGTTCTGATGGTTTTTTCCATTATTGATCTGCAGAATTTTATTTGAAAAAACATTTCAGGAAGTTGTCACACAAACTCTGAGAAGGTACAACAGCGCCAACATTAACAGGATTAATTAAACAGTTTAAAACATTAAAAAGGACCTGAGGTCTGTGGCTGTTTGTTGCCACAAGCTGAGACATCAACTGGGATTTAGCTAGTTTTACAGAATTATTAAAAGTTATTAAGCATCTGCAGAGACACATGCAAGCCCATTCTTACACATAGCATCCTACTGGCTAGATATGATCAATGACCAAGAATCCACCTGAGGGAAAACATTTTATATCATCAATCTGATATGCCAAATGCCATTGGGCTTATTCATAAATGTTGATATATGCTAAACAATGACGTTATCTGAAAATTTGGTCAAACAACATAAAGAAGAAAAAGGGATTTTCGGGTGTTTGTCGCCTCCTGGCGGTTGATCTCTTTTACCTAATCAACATAAATGCTAAACAATAGCTGACATGTAGGGGTCAGTTTGTGTCAAGTATTAGTAGGTTTCTAAAGAAGAAGGTAGCTAGGGCTTTGGGGGCATGGAGAATTCAGACATCATGCCACAGACTCAATACTTCAATTATCATCTTATCTGCATAAAATTTCGTGAGTGTCCGTATACTACTCACCGCCACGGTTGTGACACTAGGCCGGAGTGACACCAAGCGAGGGCTAGAAGACGCTGGTTGCAGCTTTAATTTTTTCTTTCTTCCTTTTCTAAGTGTATGTGCTGCTGTAGCAAGTGAATTTCCCCACAGTGGGATTAATGAGGTCTATTCTATTCTATTCTATTCTAAACACATTTATCAGACAAGAATAAAAATATTTTTTATGTTTTTTTAAACATTGTATTATTTGTTGGAAAATGAAGCAAGAAGCAAACAATACGTTAAAAAAAATGTAAATCTCGGATGATCTTGACATTACACCTGCTGGTCTCTGTCGATCCCAGCAGGTGGCGTCACGTCATTAACTGCGTGCATAGGAGGAAAAGTGTGGGACAAACACAACCTAACATCTTAGAGGGAAGAAAATTCACGTTTTAGTTAAAATATTATGAAACTGGGGGAAATTATTTTGAGCGTCAATATAACCGACATATATCGATGGATGTCAGACTGTGCTTCTGAGTGTAGCTCGAAAACCGCCATGCTAACGTAAATAGCTTGCTAACGCTAACATCTAGTGGGTTCCGTTCAAAAGACTAAAAACCGATAAACCCGTTTAAAGTGTAAGTTGTAATTGTCTCGCGCTGCGCACATTTGAGTTGATTCTTTGTTTTTAGTAACAACGTATTTCAAACAACAGTGTAAGATTTATCTGATTTTCTACTAGATTGGCCACATGATTCCGATTTGGAAAAGCTACTCCAACTTAGCCGTGGTGACACGTGTGCTAAATGATGGTAAGTGAAATAAATATTTGTCCCACCTTTGTTTAGTCTTTACGATGTCAACATTATTTTCATTTATTCTTATGTATTGTTACGATTGAGTCGTTCTAAACTTAGACGTGACTAACGGTTTGATTCCTCCCTGCTGGAGCACATGTTTCTCATTTCCATGGTCACATGTTAATTTCAATGCATCTGATAGATAATCAGATGATGTATTGTTACCATTAAAGACTAGATTATATGGTCACAATTTAAAATTCCAATGACCTTGATAAAGTTGCTCATAAAATTTGTACAAAATTCATGTTTTGCATGAAAAATAAGGAAATAAAAGTATGTGTATGAGGAATATGGTTTTCTTTTAGTTACTGATATGGCTCGCACTAGGGCTTACAAACAGTAACAAACACAGAAGCCGGTGAAATCTCAAAAACTTAGTTGGATATGAAATACTCAGCAGCAATTGAACTTTACTTTTCTAAATTCAGACTCACTTTGGTCTGTTCTGCATCATAATTTCTCATGAAAGGTTTAAGATTGTTTGCTGAGACATAAACAATGTTAATAATTTCTATTTCTGCATTATAAAGGCATCTGTTACTTGATGTTTATTGGTTATTGTAACTGCAGCTTGTAATGTATTGCTCTTGTATTTATATTTATTGACTCAGTATATCATCTACTGAAAATTAAATTACTGTTGCAGCATCATCATTTTCGTGTTAACAGATATCTTAAAATATTTTTAAAATGAAAGTTTTTTTTTTTTTAGATTTTAGTTGACTGAAGGTTAGGCACTAACATTTTGTTCTATTGAATACTTCTGTTCACTAGCTGTGGAAAGGGAGCCGATTTGAGTCCAGAAAAAAATACCTAGTAAGTGCAACTAATAGTATCGGCATAAGCTACAGCTAACGAGTTTTCAAATGTATTCGTATAAATATGTGTTACGACTGGCTTTTCTCTTGCGCGAGTTATATATTTGAATTCCAGGGGAAATTATGCCCCGGAAACGGAAGTTGAGCAAACGTATATTTCCGCTATGACCTCAACTTGTTAGCAGAAGGTGTTCGCTAAGCTAAGTTACTAGCGAGTTCGAAGTTCACTTCGTTCAGCTTCTACGCTATTTTTTTTAACAGGATTTAGTGTTTGAGCTGTTTTTAGTGTCACTGTTCTGTGTTTTGTGAAAGAAAGGTCAAAGCCCGCGGGGTATTTTCACTCCGTAATTCCCCCCTTCAGTAACGCAACATGGCGGACGGCGGTCATTACTACAACGGTAAGAAACATGTCTGTAGCATTAACCTTTTATCTGTGCTGTTGTCACCGCTTTTCTTCAGACTATGGAGATTTTGTTGTGAAGAGAGAGGTCTCAAGCACAGGTCTCACGGTGCAAGAAGCAGGTAACGTGAGATCTGCTCACAGATGTTTGATCAGTCCCGTTTTAGATATAGATTGTTTAGTTAGTACTTGTGTGGTGGTTTCTGGTAACTGTTAGTTACCAGTTAATGGTCCGATTATTCAAAACATGTAATACTCCTAAGAGAACGATCAAACGAAGATATGAGGTCTTTTAAAATAAACAGGCTAAAAATGAGCTTTAACATTTTTAATACAATCTTTTACATTTTTATTTCCTTTTATTCACTGCTCCATAGTCATGGAACAGGTTACAGGAAAACTGGAAATTAACCAAACTTATCTCCTTGAATACATTTCAAACCAAATTGAGAACACTTGAGATTAGGGCTGCACGACATTAGGAAAACCTGCGATATTCGATAACAGTGCTTAATATTGCAATATCGATATTACTCACGATAAATGAACAAATACTAAAGTAGGGCTGCTCGATTATGGCAAAAATAATAATCACGATTATGGTGACTGAAATTGAGATCACGATTATTTAGGACGATTTTTCAATTTATGTTGATTTTATTTGTTTTTATTCAGTCATAAAATTGCTCAGGGCACAATCAGGACACAAATAAGAAACAAGATGATCACTAAAAGAACTCCTGATTCCCTGTATAAAAGACCAATATACTTATAGCTCATAGTCTATGACCCAAGGGCTGTAGACCTTGGTTTAACTCATTTAAGTCTAACCAGTACAGAACCAAATACCAATATCTTGCAAATACTGACAGCAAGAATTATACAGTGGCATTTATAACAAATAAATGCAAATAAATTGATGTTCACAAAATGTTGCATAACATTTATTGAGTTGTGTCAAGGTGCTGTAGGAGAGTGCACTAGCACCGTGTCCTCAGAGAGATTAGTTATTATTTATCACCAGCGTGAGGAACTTATTTCTACCTTATTTACAAACTATTTATTTACAAGTCCATCAGTTAATGTAATAATTGTCCCAACCACAGCTGCACCCCCCACCCCCCAACCCGGTCTCACAGCAATCAGGGGCACGCTGCACGTGTGTTTAGCGCGCCGCACGCGCACATTTAGCTGTTTTTAGCGGCTCAGGAGTCCGCAGGTGCGGTGTGTGTGTCACTCACTCTGGTTACTCCAACAGGGAGCAGGGCGGCTCCGAGAGCTGTCTTTAGCGACCGACACATCACTACATCATTCCCTTTCCTAATGTCCTGAAGAACGGTCCGGAGTGCAGGCGGAGTGTTTAGCTAACCTGCAGGAAACGTCGACGACAGTTATCCAGAAAGTAGCTAAGGGTTACCAGAGATGTTTCTGAGATGTTCGCCAGGTACTTTTGGGATTAAAAAGTCAAGAAGGGGGTCTGAAAAGCTGCTAGAAATAGCGTCAAAGTCGCCAAGTTGGCAACACTGTGGAGGAGCGCTTCATTTGCAACTCAGGGCAGCGCAAGCGGGAGGAGCAAATAATCGGCTTGTTTTGTTTTTTATAATCGTTCAAAACTCAGATCGTAATCGTGATTAAAATTCGATTAATTGAGCAGCCCTATACTAAAGTATGCATTGTTGATGTTGTCTGGGGTGTGACGTCTGCTCTGGGTTCAAAGCAAACAAAAACTAATGCATGAATTCCATTACAACATATTTCTATTGCAAAAATATGCAGCTCCACCTGCTACTGTAGTAGCAGCAAAACAACAAACTGCATGCATGCAGTTTCTCAGTGACTTTAAAACATCACCACCACCATAAAAATTTTTCTGATGCTCCAAATACAGAAAAACATCCCTAACCAGGGTTTTTGAATAAATAAAAAAAAATCAGAAAATTACTTTAAGTGTCAAATAATAGTTAACATCACTTAAATGCAACAGCAAATTCTCTCATTGCTACTGAACATTTTCTCCACTTATGTGGTTATGATATAAGGCTGTTGCTGCAATTGGGAAGTGATCTGTGCCGGGCCAAACTAGGAGAATATTAAGATTTTCTGAGGGAAAGAGAAAAACAATTGTCTACCTTTCAGAAGAGGAACTGGCAAAAAAACTACATGGAAAATATGTGAAAACGTGTGTTTTTAACCCCAAATTGAACAAGTTTACCTAGATCTTAAAAAGCAGCTCAGATGATGAAACTGCAACTATTATTCTGATAACAAGCTAACAAATTGAACTAGCTCCTCTTAAGATAACCGGCTAGCAGAGCTTCTGACTGACAGTTTATGTGCAGCAGCAAATCAACTATCCTGATTAACAAGGTTATAAAAGCTCATCAAGGAAAAATCACTTTGATGTGTGGGGGAACTTTTCCAGGCCCTCTTTAGCAGGGTGGGACTGGGAGGAGAGTGCTGTAGCCTTTTAGCTGGAAGCTAACCGGAGCCTGGGGCTAACGGTGGGTTGGTTCACCGGCACGTGTCGGAGTCAGCCCGGTTATTATCAGCTGCTTAACGACACAGAGCAGACTCACGTTCACGTTTGAAAGCAGCGCTGATTCCAGAAACCTCAGCACAAAGTGCGTTCGTTAATCTGAGCCAGCATGACGAACAAGGGAAGCGAGCGGCAACGGAAAGCGGGGGCGGAGCGGAGATAGTGGAATTTAGGGGTAAGGGTCTACGTAGGGGGCGGGCGTATTACGTGAATGGACCCATCTGATTGGCTGCATATCAGAAGGACTACATTTGATTGGTCAAATAATACGTCCACGTAAAAAACAGCTGGTTTACAAAAAGCTGATGTATGACACGGATGGAAATGTTTGAACCAAACATTTATCGCTGTTTTTGACGCGCTTTGCGATGGGCCTATCGCACGTCCTGTTATCCCGATGACGATAATTTTTCGATATATTGTGCAGCCCTACTTGAGATGGATTCCCTGTGTTGTAACTACCTTCTGGAATTTTGTACATAAATGATAAATGCGCTCCGTCCCGCAGTGCTCCTCTGTGAGGGTGGGGGGGTTGCACACGCTCCGCTGCTGTTTCTCACTAGTATCAGCTGATGGGGAGCTCTAGTTTCGTCACGCGGTTCGTGTCAGCGGACACAGTAGGGTCAGGGAGGGGGGCGGGGCATGATGCTTAGCCTGGCGGGTGGGCAAGCAAAGCCTGCCGGGCCGCCAGGCTTGTGTCTAGAGAGAAACGGAGACAAAGATGCACACACACACCTTAAAAGTTGTTGAATTTATTTTTTCCATCATGGTGGTGAAATGGGATCAGCCTGATAGGTAGTTGTCGTGGCATTCTGGGTTGAACTGCTTGATCATCTCTTTGAAACCTTGATACCAACCACGGACAGGAGTCTAGTGTCCAAAATGTTCACAAAGCCCTCGGTCAGGACGTTAGCTTGCTGAAGCGTGCATGTAACAAACTCATTCATTGAAGATGAGCACTTTTATTAACACTGTAACGTAGCAGGATGAGATCAATCATTAGCATTTGTAATTTGAGCAAAAATACGTGAAATACACACGTGTTCTAAAAGTAATAAAATCACCACCACTACTGGTGTTGCTACACCTATAAATACAAGTAACTCTCTGTTGATGTTAGCAGCTAACAAAAGGGAAACTTACCGAGGCGACTCATGGCAAGCGTTCTCTTATGTTTATTATGTTTATTTATTTGGCAGACGCTTTTATCCAAAGCGACTTACAATTTTTTATAACCTATATGGCATGTTGTGATCTGTGGGGGAAACCGGAGTACCCGGAGGAAACCCACACATGCATGGGGAGAACACGCAACTCCACGCAGAAAGGCCGCAGCCAAGTTTCGAACCTGCAACCTTTGTGCTGCGAGGCAACAGTGCTAACAACTGCGCCACCATGCAGCCCCTCTTAAGATACTCGTGCATCGCCGATGTGCTCCCGTGAAAGGAGAGTTTCACTTTGCAGAATTTGAAATCTACGCGCCTTTCTTTTGAATTTGTATAATGCTCCCAAACCTTTGAGCTATGTTTCTGACTCCCCATGTTTTCTTTCTCCGGTGACGAAAGCTGCACTGGATGGCCACTAGTGCGCATGTGCCTCGGAGCTAAAGCGACGGCTGAGCAGAAAGGTGGGAAGCAAACGCCGAACGTGCCGCAGAAGGCTAGATTTAAAAAATTTCAATAAAATGAGGTCTATTTTATTTGATAGCGTCGTCGTGACGAGTCGACTAATCGCGGCAGCCCTAGACATCTTGCTGCGGCTGCCTCGTGCTCTGCTTTGGCTTGAGGGGAGGGCCTGGTGAAGTAGCGTGCTTGAGTCTGTGGTTTTGATTGGTTAGGAGTAAGTAGTGAGTCTAGTATGCTGCTACTTGATAGGTTATAATGAAAAAAGAAAACTTCAATCAAAGTTTTATAGACCCATTGATTTTTTTCTATCACACCACATGTCTATCGATAAATAGATTGAACAAATAAATTGTTGTCCAGCCCTACGTGATGCAACAGTGAAAGTTTGCTTTAAATGTAGAAATGTTCCCAGTTTTCTATATTGCTGAAAAACACATATAAATAAAATGTGTGCATCTTGGACAATTAAGATATTGATTTTAAATTGATTTACACAATGGAGAGAGACTTTGCTTGGCCTCAGAACTTTTATTATATCTGTAAGGTTATTGTTTTTGTTTTTTTACAGAGCATGATGACAGGACACAACCATTTCGAAACCGCAAAGGCAGAGGCTCTCACAAGGGTCGATCATTTGACCGATCTCGAAGAGACCGTCAGAGAGGAGGCCACTCTGGGGGATTTGGAGGTCCTGGACCACGATCCAGGCTGGATGATACAGATGTGACAATGAGTGACAGCTCTCAAGACAGCAGCTCCCAGAGCAGATTGTAAGTATTCATCTTTGTTTTTTCTCATTTTTCATTGATTATAATAAAACTGATTTGTACATAATTTATTATAAATGATTTAAAATTGGGGTTCTTCTGCCAGAGGAGCACATGTTGCTCAGCAAAGAACCGTAGAAGCACAATACATAGGTGGAGGAAAAACATTTCATAAATGTTTTTTTTTTCCTCCACCAAAGCACACAATTATCTGCAAGTTAAATAACAAAAATTCCAATACCAAAATACAACAGCTCAGAGTCCATAAAACTGCTTAATTCAAAGTCAGGCAAAACAAGTAAACTACTGAAATATTTTGTTCTTGTTCAAGCCTGCCTGGACATTTTTTGTCTTTCTCTTTCAATAAATCTGTCAAAAACGATCCTATGAGCACAAAAAAATTACCTTTTTTCAGGGCAAGCATAGTTTTCTGTATCTGTAAAGATTTTGCACCTATTGTGTTTAAATACCTCAAAACATGTAATAACAGAAAAATGGATTAGATTTTTCTTCAGAAATATATGAATAGAAAATTTACATGGACAAAATTTCTGAAATTGCAGAAATGAAACGTAAATGTATTACAACTAGGGATGGGTACCGAATTTGGTACTTTTTAAGGTACCGACCGAATTCCATAGTACAGACCGAGCACCGATTCACGTCATTTCAAACGGCGCCTCGTTTCGGTACCCGTCCATCATAACGAGAACGTGCCAAGACAGCTGCGCATGCGCAAGAGCGTTTTGTTGTCGCTTGCTGTGAACCAGTTGTAAACAGAGCAGCATGGTAGAGAGAACGCAGGCTAAAGCTTGGGTCCACTTCACTAAATGTGATGGGTAACTGGATGATGAAACCAGCAACAACTATCCTCATCTTAATCTGCTCCGGTAGGTAAATATAATTAGCTTGATATGTTAGCTTCCGTTTCGCTAATGGTGCGTTCGCTTTCTCCTCGGAACTCCGAATTTCCGACTAGAACAACATGAACGCGCTCTAAAGTTTGGCTTCACTTTACTAAATGTGACGGGTGAAGACGAAACCAGTGACGATCTAAGTGTGAGGCATCGTTTTAATCTGCTCCAGCAGCTAAATAAACTGTTTAAGATATCGTTAGCTTGATATGTTAGCTTCCATTGCTACCATTGTTATCAGCTAATGGTGCATTCGCTTTCTCCTCGGAAATTCTAACTTCCCAATAGGAAAAATCAAATGAAAAAAGATGGCAAAAGGAATGAAGATACACAGTAAATTTAGTTCACAGTAAAGATGTTTGCTTCAGTTTAATCATCAGCTTATAAAACTACAAGGGCAATGTTAAAATACAAACAGTTGTATGTTATTTATCGTGATTAGGGCTGCAGCTATCGAATATTTTTGTAATCGAGTACTCTATCGAATCTTTTTTTCGATTAATCGAGTACTCTAATAAATTACCCTTTTGTGTTTGTAAACCATTATATCATATATTGATGAGCCAAGATGGCGCCGAGTATGGCTGCCTCGTCGCGAGCTCCACCAAGTTCCAACATTACACACTCCATACTGTACAATAATGCCACAGTTTTGCACATACCAACCTCTGTACATTTTATATCTCTTATCTTATTGTTTACTTTATTCATTTGTATACTTAGATTAGCCATTTTTATATTTTACTTGTTTTTACATTACTGTATTTTTGCACAACTCTGTTGCTGTGAAGCTCGCACACAAGAATTTCACTCGCATGTACTGTACCAGTGTACCTGCACATGTGACGTGACAATAAAAGTGATTTGATATCAAATAGCATGTTATAATTATGAAAGACCTCTTAAAATGAGCAAGCAATTGCCAGTTATTCTTCAAGTTTTATTCAAAATTAGTTTGCATAACTTCAGCACTTCAACTTTACTTCACAGTAAACAAATGCCTGTGCAAAAAATAAGTTAACAACCTGAGCCGATTTTCCCCTCGTGTGAGAATCTGCTAGCCTGCAAGCCAGACAGAAACTAGGAGGATAACGCTGCGAGCGGCTGCGGCCCAAACAGAACCAGAACCGCTCACGGCGCAAACAGCTCGCCGGCTGTTTCCCTATTAACACACGTCCGTTTTAATTTCTGCACTTTTTTTCTCACTCTAACAAGGATTGCCAAAAGCATGTTTGCTGTGGTTTTGTCAAATTATACTGATCACAAAACATTTATTTACTTTCTTTCGTTTTCCTCCGCCACTCATAAATACCCGTGTCCTCCTGCAGAAACCCCGAGGGACAACAGACATCAATAACACAATAGAAAGTCCGACATATTGTGTAAAAACTGCTATTTTTAGCACATTTTAAGTCCGACGTGTTGCTACCAGACGTACGGTGTGAGCTGAAACTGAGTGCTACAAACGAAAAAGTCGCAGTGTCCGCAGAATATATAGAAAGACAGGCTAAAAAGCATTATCTTGTAGAGGCTCCAAGTCCGCTTGCAGAAGTGACATTTACAGGTGCTGCAGCATGGAGGATGTGGTGTTGTGCTAGGCTAAATCCATTTTACAGTATTTATACTGGACTACGTTTTCCGTCTTACGACGTGAAAGATGGTCCCACAACTTTGACTTTTTCTGTCTTTTTCGCACTCCACCGGGGTCCACGTTGTTAAGAGAAAGTTAAGTTATATTCGCTACTCGCGTGTGCATTCAGTCCAGTGGGCATGTGCGTCACTTATTTCGGTCCGGGTGAAACATGACCCCGGGCGATTGCAAAGCCATGAATTAATTAAATATGAATTAAACGAATCCTCGAGGCAAAGAATTTGACTCGAGGATTTTTTGTACTCGAATTATTCGAGGTACTCGAGGAATCGTTTCAGCTCTAATCGTGATATTTATCAAATATTGTTATATATTGAGAAAAATATATATTTAATTATATAAGAGAATTAAAATAATAAACACTCAAAAGTATCAAAAATTGGTACCGTTAAGTACCGGTATCGATTCGTAGGTACCGGTAATTAGTACCGGATCGATTCAAATGTCAAAGGTACCCATCCCTAATTACAACCTTGTACTGATTTATTTATTTTTTTTATGTACAGCCTTCACTGTGTCCATTTCAAGTGGTATTTTCTGACAGTGTTCCAGTGTTTTTAGCTGCTGTGGTAGTCTGCAAAGCAGTTTCTGTTCTGTTGCAGACAACCCCCCTTTTTTGCACATCCAGGGTGTGGTTTGTTTTGGGGACAGAATGCACCATTTTTCTCCACTGACCTACACTCAGTGCTTTGTCCTTCTTCACTGGTCCAGGGGCCAGGGATGTGACCTTGAGTGGAGGTCACTGGAGGGTTTTCATTCACACCAAGCAGCTGTGTACACAGCTTCTCCAGAAATTGTTGATATGTCATGCCTCCTTCTGCTGCTTGTTGCCAATTATTTATTTATTTATTTTTATTTAATTTTTTTGTCAAGGTGGTTGTGAGAGGCAGCTGATAGCCAGGGGTTCTTGTAGGGATAAATCTGGGTGTGGGTTGACTGTACCTGGGTCTGACTCTGTTCACCAAGAGTCTAGAAATTGTGGAGCATCTTCAGCTGCATCCTGTCTCTAACATTGCCTATATTGCTGGTGATGGTAGATGGCCCTTCATCTGAAGAATCTCAAAGTATAAATATATCAGATTTTCATATAAATATATCAGATTTTCAAAAACTTATTCAAGCATCAAATAAAAGTAAATAAAAACTGTAAGAAAAAATACTGAAATCAAACTAGAACTTCATTTGAACTGTAGATAAACTTCCTGCAGCTGTTATGGTGATTCATCTTCATCCACATCTGGCATCTCAACTACAGATGTACATGAAAGTTTTGTTTTCCTGAAATTATCATTACTATTAGCAGAAATACTATACAACAGAAACTGTGGAACATATGTGGCTTGGAAATTATTTAGTGTAGAGATACTTAATGGGTTTGTGATGGAAACATGACGTAGGGCATGAGGGAAGTTTCCTCTTTCTTGAAGATTTCCTGATTTCTTCCGTTATTTAAAAAAACAATTCTAACATATGAAAAAATTTTATTTTATCCCCAAAACTGCATAATACAGGAGAAAACTACACAACTAACACACACATCTTAGCATCATGCTTAACAATTAGCCTAGTTTAACATGTGTACACTGCTTACATTTGATAGCTATGTAACTAACACATGTCCAACCATTTCTTAAACAAATTGATGGTTAAAAAAAACAAAGGTTCCCTAAGGCACAAATGTATAAAGCACATTCAGCGTGTATGTGATCCATTTATTCTCTCATTCTGCCCCAATGTAATCAATGTAAACAAAGAAAAATGAGTCCATAGGTCTGAGGTGAGAGCGCTCATTCTGTTGCATTTCTGCACTGAGTCTATAACAAAGATTGTAACAGATATCGCACTTTGATCCATTTTCAAAACTAGGGATGGACAATCTATCGGTATCGGCCAATGTTAGTCATTTTTTACCATATCGGTATCAGTCCGATATTATCAACCGATTTTTTTTTTTCATCTTTTCACCAATTGTTTGCTTGTTTAAGAGAGTGTGGGGGTGATGTGTAATTGTTTAGTCATGTCACAGTGATTGTAATAATCTCAGAACTAGGGCAGGGCCATATAGCCAAAAATATTTATCACGGTATATGTTTGAAAATTAGCGATAACTATATAACTTGACGATATGACTGATGTGAGACAAATTACTTATTCACAACTTTATTAGTGCAAAGAGCCTACCAATATATTTTCACTTAAGCAGCAGTTTTTACATGCATCAAAACTACATTAAAATGTTTGTGCAAATGGGCTGAAATATCCTCCTGAGCATAACCATGTGCAATATCTAATAACTTAAAAGAGTTGCTTTGCAACATAAAACTCAAACTCTCGAGTAAATAAATAAACATGTCAGAAACACCAACATGTTCACAGATATGGGCTTAAGGGAGGATCGTTGACAAGTTACGTTTCCACCTGTACTGAACAACCTTTCA